TTTTTTTTTTTTTTTTTTTTTTTTTTTTTTTTTTTTTTTTTTTTTTTTTTTTTTTTTTTTTATACTTTCAGCACAAAATACTTGCGAATTGTTGCATTCAAAAAATCTGGAAAATTTTTTTTTTTGGGGGGGGGGAATTTTTGAAATTTTTGCAGTGGTGAATGCATAGCTGAAGTGCGTATTTAGCAAATTGGCGGTTTTTATAGGAGGATTCTAATTAAACAAGTGGTTAAAAATTGAAACAAAAGAACAAATGGGTGGTTTTTCCACAAGGATTAAAAATAGACGAGAGGTACGGAATGTAACAAAAGAATATGAACTATGCAAAACGATAATCTGGGTATCGGAACTTGGCTGATTTGAAAACGCCTTCAAATGCGGCGTGATACCTCACGCATTCCGGAGAGTTCAAATAGTTGTATCATTGCGCCGTAAGAATGTGACGGAAGATTTAATTGGAAATAGCCTCCATGCACGCTGGGCGTGTCGATTTCCTTTGACATTTTTGCAGTTATGAATGCGCTTAAGTGCGCTTCAGCTAGAATTGTATTTAGCAAATTGGCGGTTTTTATAGGAGGATTCTAATTAAACAAGTGGTTAAAAATTGAAACAAAAGAATATGAACTATGCAAAACGATAATCCGGGTATCGGAACTTGGCTGTTTTGAAAACGCCTTCAAATGCGGCGTGATACCTCACACATTCCGGAGAGTTCAAATAGTTGTATCATTGCGCCGTAAGAATGTGACGGAAGATTTAAATGGAAATAGCCTTCCGGATGTAGGTACTAGAAATAAAACATGAAAGACTGAATTTTAAAGAATTCTCGTCGATCCCGTACCCTTTAACACGTTCTTAACGCCTTAGGACGCTTAAATCGATCTCGCGCACTAGGTATAGGTACAATGAAGAGAAAATAACAGAGAGAAAAAAGAAAAACGTAAGTATAAATCCGGCAAGTTTGCTTAAAGTGGCTCAATTACCCACACATTGCCCGCACATGAATACCATTCAAGCTGACAAAAATAATTGAGGGGCTTGCAGGACAAGGCGCATAAGTGCAGTTTTTAAAAAAATTGAGATAGGTATATTCATGAACTCAACTAAAACTAATTTGAAAGTATTGGTATTCTGTGAAAAATTCACAACTAATATTCAACTTTAAAGCTTCGAAAGTGAGTTTAAATTTCCTCTCTGCCTCAAGGCTCCATGTAATTTCGAAACTTTAAACACGTATCTCTTGAAGCAAAAACTGCACTAATGCGCCTTGTCCTTCAATCCCCTTAATTATACATCACTTAATTTCCAAGCCAGGGTATGTAATTACATTCGCCACGTAGGTATTGTATTTTTGCGCGCCTTGCGCGCGCCAAGAGCGAACCAATAAGGGCCGCTATTTGTGACCAAATGCCATGGATGAGGTGTTCAAGCGATGCGCAGACACAGTATGTATAACATTATGCCGAGGTAAAACTTCTGAAGTCTTCCAACTTCAATCAACTTTATAATGAGCACGCATGTCACCTTGCGGCGACGCGATAATGCTATCCGATCAAATAAGATCTGCGCGCTTAAGTTGCGGGACGCTCACTGTGACCGTAAGCACTGTTCGTGTGAACGTCCCTTAACACTCAGGCCAGATGACGTCGAATCATACGATGTTCTTCCAGCGATGTGATTGGCTGCTGATAAGCGAAGCAAATCAAAACATTAACCCGCATAGAGAAAAAAAAGGAGGTGTTTGCATCTTGAGGATTTGTACCCACCTACGTCATCAATGTAAACAAGACGCTCGTTGAGGGTTATGTTGACGCTGTAAAAACGGACCATAATGTCCGATTTTTTTACTTAAATCAACTCTTTATTTAATTTCAAGCACTTTTTATAGAATGACTTTTTCCCTTAAATTACACCATTTCCAAGAAAATCGACAGGATAAAAACGTCGCTGTACCCAATGACGTCATCAAAGCTATAGATACTCTATGAAAAATTCCAAGATGCCCGAAATGCAAACACCTCCTTTTTTTTCTCTATGATTAACCCGTGGTGTTTTGGCTATGATTTTGACCAGGTTATTCTGTGATTTTTAATGTAATTATTAATTGATTCCAAAGTTTTTCAAGGGAAATGGAGACATCTAGCGACGGAGCTCACTCTGCTGGAAAACCCTGTGCTGATTCAAATATGAGTGTCCCTAATTTCAATTTGAAACTGGATGATTTCAATCTTAATGAAATCGGGGGCCTGGATGGTATGTCATCTTATCGCATATTAATTTCTGATACAGTGGAGAGGATTATGACAAGCTTAGATACAATAAATCCCCAGTTCTTCATTTTATCTTTTCTATCCTCTTTGCGTGGATTGCACTGTTTTTACCTCAATATTTGCACTTGAGATGCAATGGCAATTGCATCATGTTGTACGTCCTTTTGAAGGGTTTTACTATAGGCAGATGTCTGTGGTTCTTTTCTGCCTTACAATCTAAATTTGAGAAATTCCTGACGGCAATTTCATAGATTCAGTGAAGTATTATTCTACGGAACATAAGCTGCTACAGATATCAGTTTGATTAAGATCCTAACCTAGAACTGATAAAGCGGTTCATCCCTCAAACTCAGGGAGAAAACAAGAGCCGCAATATTAATTGCAAGCTGAGTGGTACCCTCTACTTTTACAAGTTGTCTCTAATCGGCCAATCACATAGTGTCGTAATGTAAGTGGGAGAGCTGGTGCCATGTTCTGCTCGACGAGTTTCGAGCCCGATGTGCAGGGTCACTTTTTCGATACATATTCGATCCAAAATGGCGGTGTGGAATATAGCTGGGTCCTGGTGTATCGCAAACAATCGAAAAAGGAACCGTGCGCCGCACAGGAATCTTGGAATTCGGGACCTGGAAAATGCTTAAAAGCTTAAAAGTGGCGCCAGCTCTCCCACTTGCATCATGACTATGTACTCTATGGCCAATCTGTCTGGTGTCCACTTGCTGGGGTCCTAATGGAAAATAACACAAGGTTTATTTTTCATCGAAAATATCTAAAAAATTAGGAAGAGTTTACAGGTCGGGGCGTTGCTTACGAGAATGGAGAGGCCGTAACTACATTCCTGTGACGTCTCGCTAGTCGATGAAACTCAGCCACGGTTTAACATGTATTCTTATGGGAAAACGCCTGACGTGTGTTTCTTTCGTGCCGGTATCTTCTCGGAGGTTGATCTGATGCAAAACTTCATAAGAACCTTTTTTAAACCTTTTAAATTTCACTTCAGATAAGTAACTTACCTATCTGTGACATTGTCTAATAATTGAGGAAATGAAAGCATAATACCGAAAATCATTACTCCTCTCCGATTCAAACGTGCCGCCCACGCAACTTCGGCCGATCGAGAGCCACTCCTATTGGTCCATACAACGACTACCTCACTTATCGATGCACCGATGACCCGAAGATGCTTGTTGTTTTCAGTAAATATCTACTAGCGTGACGTCACAAAAGGTAGTTACGGCCTCTCCATTCTCGTAGGCAACGGTCTGGGTTTTCAAAAATTAATTTTTCAGATTTTTCTGAGGTAATCGATGCATAATACATGATTTTTTCTCTCAAACACACTGAACAGCTCGACCTGAAATTTAACTTTAAATATTCGTGTCTTATTTAAGGGGCCTGGAGGACGAGGCGCATAAGTGTAGTTTTTGCTTTTTCCATGAATATGTGTTTGAAGTTTCGAAATTACATGGATCCTCATGGCAGGAAGAAAGTTCAAACTGACCTTCTGATGCTATAAATTGGAATTTTTGTGCGAATTTTTCACAGAATATGCATTAAGATTAATTTTACTTGAAATCATAATATCTCAGTTTTCTATAACTGCACTTCTGCGCCTTGTCATCCAAGCCCCTCATTTCAAATTGAAAAAAAAAAAATTTCCAGGTCAAGCAATATTGTAGGAGAAGATACATTAAATGCCTTTTTGCTAATAATAATTAATAATGGAACCAGTAGTTGAGAAAAAGAAATTTTAAATACTACACTGTGTTTAATTACTTTTGATGAAGATTCACCAGAACTCCTTAGTCATTACTAATTTTGTGTTCTTCATTCCAGGCCTGATAAGCAGTTGTGAAAATGATCTATTTTCAAAGGACGGTTGGCTGTGTAATGAAGAGGATCAACTCTTGCCTCTATTGAACAGTGACAGTATGAAGATGGAAGATGACCATTTGTTACCTTTGTTAAATGGTGACACAATGAAAATGGACCAAGACGTCTCGTTTGATTTTTTTAATCTCCCTAATAATTTACTGGATGCCTCAAGTGACTTGCAGAAAAATCATGTCAAACCAGAACGAAATCCCATTCAAAAAATGGACACGAGTCCGAATAGTACTTCCCAACCGTTCCTCTCAGGCTACTCTGATTACTTAATGGCACCCTCTCGGACAGAAAATGTTTCACTTTTGCAAAATGTTAGTTTACCAGTCTCGGCTGCTGTGCTACCAGGAAACATGCAAGGTCAAATATCAATGCAACCAAGCCAACCTGTGTCTCGCACTGATGCTGCTAATTTCGGTAATCCTGGCAGCACAAGTTCAAATGTAGTCCTGAGCAGTGGCGCTAACACCTACAACCACAGGGCAGTGATGACTAGCAACCAAACTATTCTCAGCTCATCGCAATCACCAAAAGGAAGTCCCAAGACTTCAGTGGCTGCGCAATCCCAAGTTCCTGTTTTTTCCAATATTAAACCCAAGCCAAACCAGTCAAATTTTCTACAGTCTGTTCATTCACAGTCCTCAAATCAACCGCCAAACAAGAAAAATAAAACCGCAGTGAAAGCGTCTAACAATCAAGTGGTCACTGTCCAACCTCTCCACATTCCTGGCAAACAGGTAACAATTCCTCCAGGTCTAAAACTCATTCTCTCATTTCAGGTCATCACTCATTTTTACCCATGGACCTGTTACTATATTCAAGACTCTTGATTGTTAAAACTTTAATCAGATCTTTCTTTTATTTCGACCTTCTCTTAATCATTCTAACAAGACAACATTTACGAGGGAATGAATATAAAATCAAAGGGCAGTATGTAAATAAGTAACAGGTTTGCTGTATTACTTTTTTTTTTGGCCTCAATTAGTAATCGCAGAATTTTTCCTCTGTTTTTAGGTACTTGTTCAAGCTAATTTAAATGGACAACAAACGGTCATGTACACTACAAATCCAGCCACAACCAGTGTGAAATCAGAACATATATTGATGAACGCAGGAACTATTTTAACTACAGGTAAATTTATTTTTTTTATTCTTCAATTTTAGGGCCTTTTTTAAAAAAATCATATTGTTTTCACTTACAAGAATTAAATTTTAAATTAACCTTCTATTAACCTCTTTAACTTGCTCAAGCCAGTTTTTAGAGCAAGCCCTAAACCAATTTAATATCTTATTTTGTTTTAAAAGTATCAGGAATCTGGATATTAGAGATAGTTATTTGTTGATTCAAATCCCAATCGTTTCATCCAACTTGGCAATTTCTCCTCAGAAGTTCAGTATTATGCTTTGAGTTCTCTTTACTGGTGAAACACACTCGGTGAAACTTACTCTTTACACAGTAAAGTTTTACAGGAATCATCCTGAAACCTAGATTTCAGTATGATTTATTATACGTTGGTAGCTTTCATTCTACCCTTGGCTTATTTCTGTTTCCTGTTTTTACAGGCATTCCAGTCGTACTCGATGCAGAAAATTTTGCCCTGAATCAAATTCCAGGCACAAACGTATCCATGAAATTCCCAAAAAAAGAAGGCAAGCGGAACTCACACAATGCCATTGAAAGACGGTACCGCACAAGCATAAATGATAAAATCATTGAACTGAAAGATATGATCGTGGGAACTGAAGCTAAAGTGAGGCCCAACTTTTTTCTAGAAGTTTTTACACATCTACTCTGATTATTATCTTGTTCTCTTATTTTTTGCTCAATTTTTTGCAGGTATATATTTGCAGAAGTAAATTTTTGTAGGAAAGTAAAGTAGCAAACCACGTGAGAGTTTTGGAAGCGGAGTCAAAAGTTAAATTTATGATAATGAAATTGAAGGGTAATCGAATGTTATCTTGTAGACAAATTTTGAAGTGAAAGATGAAGGTGGAAAAATTAGCTCTCAAATTCAGTTGTGTCCAAAATTATGCTCTAAGGCCATGTTAATTTTTTCAGAGATATTACCTGACACTCTCATAAGTGCTCCCTTTCAATTTATTTCTTCTGAATGAGTCAAAAAATCTCTCGGATCAGACTTTTGTTGGGTCAAAATACTTCTCTCAGAGGATAGTGCAACTCTTAACTATCCTTTCATTTTATGTCCTACTGTTAGAGCTGGGAAAAAAAAAAAAAAAAAGAGAGACAAATGCCACATCAACCTGAATGCATCAATCATCGGTTGGTCCCATCAGTAACGATTGGTGCCATTTAATGATGTGATGTTCATCTCTTCTCTTCTTTCCTCAGTTCTAATCAAGTAAACTACTCTCATCTTCTCTGAAAGGTATAAATTATTATATTTTAATATTAAGTTGTAAATCTGAAGGAACAAAGTATGTCGATGTTGAAATTCCCAAACCATGTATCTCAGTTTGCAACGTTGCAGACTTCCTGTCGTACTTAATTTTTTAAATGGAAAACTCCTCAACAGAAATTCTTACACAGTTATGTGATTTTTCTTCTCTGTGCAAACAAAATTCTATGGAAACTTCATCGAATGATTTTGTTTTGCTCTCCTTCAAATTTAAAATAAAGTGGAAGTGGAGACTTGATAACACCGCAAATGAGATACGTGGTTTGGGAGTTTCATCACGGACATGTTTCATGAATTTTTTCATGGTAATTTGATGGCAGCTTTCTAGAAATATTTATATTTTTCTACAATCTGCCTGCTGGTGTGAGAAGTAGCTTTTCTATCGACTGATGTTCCCTTTTTTATCTTACAGCTCAACAAGTCTGCAGTCTTGAAGAAAGCGATCGACTATATCCGATTCTTACAAAACAGTAATGCTAAGTTGAAACAAGAAAATATGGCTTTAAAAATGGGTCAGAAACAGAGTATAAAAGATCTGCTAACAACAGCAGAAGTGCCAGATGTTGGAGGGATCACTCCTCCTCACTCGGATGTTTCATCGCCCTCTGTCTCAGACACATCTCCCTCACCACCGCCGTCTCCCCATGATTCAATTTACTCTAATGAGGTAATTTATGTATTTATTATTTATTTTAACAATTCTGGTACAAAGGACCCTTTTAAGTATAGTACATGTCAAAACCACCCACAAGACTAGAAAGAGTTATGATTTAAAAGTCAACAGTAATAGCAATATCAATAGTGAGTAGTAACATTGAATGCACAAGGTAAGGTAAGACAGTGTCACATTAGCCGGGGTCTCCTGTTCTTAGATGTGGCAAACGAAATTAATTTTTGTAGAGTTATATTTTAGTGTTCTGCACATAAAATTTCGTGGAAAAACCAAAAATTTCATTAAAAAGTCCATAAAAATCATTTCTAAGGGAAGGAAAAGCTGATCAAAAGCTTATCGTTGATTTGGTGTATAGCAAGGAAGAGCCTAAAGCTGAGTTTAGCCAATCAGCAAAGTCCATCTCCCCCACCCGGCTACGTCATCAGAGCTTGCCAAAAAAATCATCGCAAACTGGTCCCATTTTTGGAATTTTCACAGCGCAAATTCTTTGCCAATAAAGGTAAAAAAAATCTGAAAAATCCGTGTGAGCTTAGTTCTCCCCGTACTTTTAAAAAATGAATTAAAAAAAATGGGTGTCCCTGCCCCATCCTCAGGAAATAATCACCAATTTTTTTATAATTAAAAAAAATACTCTTTGGAGTTTATTGATATTTTAGGTATCTTAATTGAATGCTTTTCGAATGAAGTCTGTACGCAATTCAAACCCTACGCAGACAAACTTCTTTTGCATAAAAACGTCCAGTTATCAAAATATCTTTGTATTATTTTTCCAGACAAAAGAAGATCTTCTACCAGGAATTGTACAAAATATTGCGAGTCATACACGAACAATGCTCTGTGCCTTCATGCTGTGTGTGGTAGTATTTAATCCGCTTGGCCTAGCATTCAATCAGTTATCACCTCAATCTCCACTCGCTGCAGACTTTAGCTCATCCAAAGAGAGCAGAATGATTCTTAATGTTGATCATAATAGCGATTACGGTGAGTCACAGGCTTTGTCGGCATAGTTCATGTCAGTTCTTTCTGCGTAGTACTATTTGAAAAAATTGAGTTTTCCTACTAATGTGCACACTTTTACTGTATTTAAATTTAGTATTCATCACTTATAATCATCATTAATAGATTCAGTTGCTTCAGCCAAGGTTTTTGAAGGAAAGAAGAGCATAGTAGTGATGGATGCATTATTTGTTTTGAAAGAGTTTTTCAGTAGTATTTTTAAAAGTACTTTTGTTAATTTTGATAGGACCTGCGATAAAGCACTGTTTTGATGAGAAATGAGACCTGTAAAAGTCTGCGGTTCTATAATATTTTCATGGTTTTTACATTTTACATCTCATTAGATCTGATCACAGTGATTGTTGTTTATTTCAGGAAACGAAAGATTGGGCTCAAGGTACAGCCTTTCATCTGTCTTTCTGTGGCTTCTCAACATGCTTATTTTGGTATTTTGTTTCACAAAAATCATGATTTATAAAAGTCCCGTGAGAAACACAAAATCCAAAAACGCAACCTTATTTTGGCAACATCGAAAACAGGCAGATTTCAACTTAGCTAAGGTAAATATGAAAATTCTAATTTCATTTTCCCATTTCGCACTAGCTATTGGTCTGCTCATGGGCTACTGAAGTTCTCTGTGTATACAACGCATCATTTTTATGATTTCGGCGGACTGAGATCAAGGTGCCTCCGATACAAGGGGATATTTTGAACTTGAGGCTAGAGAGGAATAAGGTTTTACAAATTGTCCTGAAAAGTGTTGAATACCAATGTTGGCAAGTAAAAATGGACACACAATGCTGGAGATCATGCTTAAACAGAGCATGGGCGTCTTTTTATAGCCTGCAAAGATTCCTAGATACCTTATCAGTTATCATGCATTTTTGGACATGTTGGCATCTTATAAGCAGACAATTAAGCAAGAAACTTGCTTTGATTGCAGTTGAAAGGGAGTGTTAGTCTCTTCTTGTCATCAATGAAGACTCTGATATAATTTTTAGTGGCCGCATTTTTAGCAAGTTCTTGCAGCCCTGAAGCAAGTAACAGATGTGCTGTCAATCTTTTTATTTCTTCGCATAGAAAAACTGAAAATCTGGATCCGCCTATGATTTCCTGTTTTTAAAGTAGTGCCAATTGTTCAACAGGGTGACATCATGGGAGCCAAACAAGAACTGAGCATGTGCTTAAATGTACTCTCTCTGCAACTACCAGTTTCCAACATGGAACTCTACTCATCTCTGTTCTGTGAAATTTCTAGACAAATAATGAATCGACTATGGATTGGTAGTCTCTTCAGTAAATATACGGGAGGAATTTTTACTAACTCGTAAGTATCATTTTTTTCTAATTTTTTCATTTTTGTGTCTACTTTATTTTTTAAGAAGCAAATAAATCAATTTTAAATACAGCTCAAAATCTTTGAGGAATGGTCATAAAATGGTAAAGTTATACCGACGTATGGTGTATATTACTGATGCTGTCATTGTTATTAGTTAGCAACAAATACGCAAAAGCGTTCAAGTCAACTCTGTCCTATTATTTTTTCATTTTTGGGGATTTGAACTATGTTTGTTTAAAAAAAAGAGTGTCCAGAAAAGGCGCATAGCACCAGACATCTCAGATCTAATTTTCAATCCTATTGTTGAGAAGAGAATGTTATAAAATACATCTAAATTATAAAAGATAATTTTATAAAATATTTGGCATATATTAAACCGGAATGATGATAATTTAAAGTTTCCAGTTCAAATAACATCTTTTTAAAAAAAATTATGATTTGCAATTTTTATACACCATATTTGAGGCTCCTAATTTTTCTATCGAAAGGAAGTCTTGTACCTTCTTTTTACGCAAAATATCATCTCCTGCACAAAGGAATGTATCTCAAGTGTGCTATTTCAGTTATTCTTACTGATATTTTGTTTTTTGTAGGAGAATCCTCAGATGAATCTGCCCGGTGAGCTTTCTTTTGTTTTCAAAGAAAAGTCACTCAAATTTTCAGACAAATTTGTGCAATTTTTTTCTCATTAAAAAATAAGAAACATTCGTAAGAAAAACCGAGATATTGTGGACAAGATGCATTCCTTTGTGTGGGAATCGATGAAAAATAGTCTAAAAGCTCAAACTTATGAACTGGGATGTCTTCCTTTCTTCGTGGACAGTCATAAATACTTTACAAATTAGTCCTGAAGCTTCAAAGTCTTTTCAATGATTCTAGCCTCTCTAAATCTTTTCATCTCAACTTGTAGGCAAACTCGGAAGGAGACAAAAAGTTGGCTCCAGGAAGTTTCAGTCGTTTATCTGAAACTTCAGCAATTATCTTTGGCCTCAAACAGTCAACCCTCTCATCCACATGGAATCTATCTAGCATTAAGTGCTCTCAATATGGCCGAAGCAGCTGGTGTTCAACCCATAGCTGATTTCTACGTGGCAGTCGCCCTGCAGCTCAAAGCATCGCTGCCAGGAATTTTTCAGCTGTACACAAGGTAGATTTTTTAATATTTTTTGCCCATGTTAATTAATTAAGGAGCCGTATGCAAAAACGACATTTTTCGCCCCCCCACTAAAACTTATTCAAACTTTGTCTATCAGTTACTAATACTGGAGCGCTTCTTTCCCCAAATTTTCAGACCCCCAAAAAATTTTGGGGGGGCGCTAGGGGGGGTGGAAGTCAAAACCTGCGACACTCGATATCTTCCGAACGAAACAAGATATTGAGGCCCGGTTTGGACGAAAAATCGTCTAAAATTGCATACTTTAAGATTCTAAAGGTCAAAATCCCAAAATTAAATTTTTAACTTAACTTATGTGCTTTTTTCAGTTTTTGAGGAAAAACAATTTCTTTTAAACAGATTAAACTGAAATTTCACATTTTTTGATTTGAACCAAAACCAGTTTTTTAAATTGTTCGTCTTTTTCCGCATCCAACGAGTGGTCGTATAAGCTGGGGAACCGAACGGTTCCGGAGTTATGATCGATTGAAGTTTCCGCTCAACGCGCGCCGACCGATTTTTGCGCGCAAAAAAGTCGGATTTGACTGTTATCAAATCAGATTTAATGTTCAAACTGAGCAAAATGCATTATTAGGGACTCTTGAGGGTTGCTGAGTCCAGAAATTACAGATACTTCCAAAAAATTCACGTTTTTAAAATTACAGCTTCGTACAGGACCACTGAGCGGCCGGTCGGCGCTCAGTGGGCCTCTAAAATAGCGCTACGGAGCTGTAATTTTAAAAACGTGAATTTTTTGGAAGTATCTGTAATTTCTGGACTCAGCAACCCTCAAGAGTCCCTAATAATGCATTTTGCTCAGTTTGAACATTAAATCTGATTTGATAACAGTCAAATCCGACTTTTTTGCGCGCAAAAATCGGTCGGCGCGCGTTGAGCGGAAACTTCAATCGATCATAACTCCGGAACCGTTCGGTTCCCCAGCTTATACGACCACTCGTTGGATGCGGAAAAAGACGAACAATTTAAAAAACTGGTTTTGGTTCAAATCAAAAAATGTGAAATTTCAGTTTAATCTGTTTAAAAGAAATTGTTTTTCCTCAAAAACTGAAAAAAGCACATAAGTTAAGTTAAAAATTTAATTTTGGGATTTTGACCTTTAAAATCTTAAAGTATGCAATTTTAGACAATTTTTCGTCCAAACCGGGCCTCAATATCTTGTTTCGTTCGAAAGATATCGAGGGTCGCAGGTTTTGACTTCCACCCCCCCTAGCGCCCCCCCAAAATTTTTTGGGGGTCTGAAAATTTGGGGAAAGAAGCGCTCCAGTATTAGTAACTGATAGACGAAGTTTGAATAAGTTTTAGTGGGGGGGCGAAAAATGTCGTTTTTGCATACGGCTCTTTATTTTTATTGAATGTAACTGTGTAAAATTCAAACTTTGAAGCAACATAAATTGGTCGGCAAGTTTGTTTTCTATCTTCCCTGGATTCTGTCAGTTTTGAAGGGTATTATAGAGCTCTCAACCTGATTGCGGTAGACGCAAGAGTTGTACGACAGTAAGTTGGAATTTTTTCGCCAAAGTGCGTTAAAAAATCCAGACAACTGGAAATCTCTATACAGAGGGAAAAAGCTCGTTTGCACACAATTTTCCCTCAAAGAGATCCGCTATTTGGTGCAAACATTAGTTATTAGTTACAACCATCCAAAAAAAAAAAAAAAAAAAAATAAACTTAGCTTAAAAAATTCCAACTTTCTGTATTAAGGAGCTGTATCAAAATCAAAATATAACGTATTAACCACTAAAACTTTAATCAATCCCACTTCGTATTTCTTGAAAGCAACACTGTAAGGTGTTAAGTGCAGATTCTTTAAATTTACAAAAATTTCAAGGGTCGAAGTCCCCAAAAAAAAGGAAGTTTGAATTATTGAAATTTTAATGACGACAAAAACTACGTGACTCAATTGAGATATTTCAAAACTTTTATTTTATTCAGACATTTTCGTTCAAAACTTTCAAAGAATACTCTTTGAGTGTTGAAGAGGAATCATTCCCAAGTCGATGTAACAATGATTTAAAGTCGTCTTCTTCCTAAAAATTAAAATGTGGCAGAGAATCTGTAACAAAGCAAAGCGAGATACATTGTTTTATAGTTTCTCCGTCAATTTTCCTCCACCCTATATCTACTGCCAAGTGTAGCCATGCCTCGTGCACCATTCCAAGTGCAGCTCAGCTTATTGAAGATTTAGTGTTCTGTGCGAATGTTTTCTGTCGGTTATAAAATGGATGACTCATTTGAACAAATAATTGTTTTACTGTGCAGATATTACCTAAGTTCGGCCCGACGGCATTACCAGAATTATCCAGCGTCCCATCTTCATTGGCTGATGACTCCATACGGTTACCGATTTTTCATCAATCAAAAGTGGTCTTATGGACCAACATCTTCTTCGCTGTTTGTCTCGCCACCTGAAAAATGCAATCCATTGGCTTTTGTCGCCAGGGTAAGTCTTGCACCCCTGGAATTTGTCTTCAAGAAATTATTATCTTTGATTAGCTGTCCTGTTTTATATAAATCTATAGAAAATTTAGTATGCAACAATAGTTATAAAACGTGTTAATTAATTGTATAGTGAAACATTTACAGTGGTGTTTTTTTATCAAACTAGTCATAATGCCAATTATTTACTTGTTCTCTTAAGGTGTATCGGGAACATCTCATCCTCAGAGCTCTTCAAACACTGGTTGCACCTGGAGGTCAGGTGGATTCAACAAATGGCGATGAACCAGTCCGCAGAACGCAAACCCCTGATGTTCTCCTCTATATTCAACTTCTCACGGAAAAAAGTGGAACGCACTCTCTGATGTGTCCTCCAAAACAGGGCCCTGGTAAGTTCCTGTACCTGTCTGCACTATCATCGAAGATAACTTTCAGTGTGAAAAAAACTTCTGCAGAAATTTCTATGAATTTCCATTATTCTTGGGAGATTGGAGGTATCTGCTGAATGTCAACGTAGTACTCTCTCTAAGATGTTACCGACTTTTCTCTGTATAGTAACAAAAATAATTGAAAAAAGGAAGCCAAAAACAGGATATCAATGGCTTAAAAGTGCGGAAACACATATCACCATTGTGTATTTTCAAAATTTCCGCCCCTAAATTACTTTTTTGAAGAGAGACAAACCTGCATTTATTTGTCTTCAAATGTTTAGCGATTTCACTCTTAATTTGGTCTGTTGTTCTTCACCATCCTTCATGCTTTTAATGCTTACTCTTTTTGTTCACTCTTTCAGTCCATTTTGTTTGCTACTGTGGAGAGCCATCTATTTTTGAATTGTTTAAGTCATTTAATTAATTTTTCTCCATTTCTGTTCTCAGTTTCTGATGAAATTGCAAATTGGTGGGCTAGTGTAATTGCTGTTGGAGCGTATTGGATACTTGGCGAGGATAAACAAGCAGAATCATTCTATCAGAAGGTGGAGTCTATCCCTGTTTCGCTTCAGAGCGAAATCCTGCCGAAAGCAGTTTTAGCTTCATTCAAATGCCGTCAAGCTTGCTTTGGATCCTATCGCAAGGGGAGCTCACAGGCAATTTTTAGGGCATGTAATGTGGCAGGTCAGCTTTTGGCTGAAGCTTTGACTTTCGTTGAATGCAAGGAACCAGACTCCAAAGTTTTAGTATGTATATTTTTTGTTTTCATTTTTTTTCTTTTCATCTTTCTTTTATTTATTATCACTTTAAAATAGGGAATCTCTTGGGATCACCACCGTTGTATCATTATTGTATTTAAATAACATTTTAGTATTAGGTGTGTTACTTTTTGTATTGGCAGAGAAGAAGAGGCAGCAAGGTTTTCCTACATAACTCTCTGGAACTGTTAAGTTTTCTCTCTAAAAAACCAAAGCAGCAGGGATCATTACAGAATAATTTTATGAAGGTGTATAATGTACTAGATGTATCTTAGCATATCTAAAATTCTCTTGGGTAAGATTGAGATTATGGATTTATACTGTATTTTCTTTGGGACTTCTCTGAAAAAACTTAACATGGGACATTAAGATTTCCTCCTAATTTTCCAGTTGACGCAACTACTCGCCACTGATTGGCTTTTAGAAACTCGAACTATTTTGTGGGAAGAAGAAAGCGGATCTAGAAATCAAGAGCCAGTCCCACCAGCCATTCTTGAGGCTTTCCAAAGAGATTTGTCATCTCTGAAAAAAATGACTCAGTTCATCCCGGTAAGTTTCTTTTTTTTTATCTTACTGGCAAGATTTTTCAAAGCAATAACATAGTTGGTTTGTTTTTTATTTTCTCTGTTTCCATTTTATGATTAAGTGAGTTGACTTGCTCCAAATGTAAAATCTGCTCAGAGTTGCTTCCTCTCTCTCAAAATTCCAAGCAGAAAACAATACAACCAAAATTACTTGAAAATCAATTTGAAGATCGTACAAAGAGAGATCTCGTTACAAGAGAGATCGTACTTGTTTCTGTTATTCATTTACTCTCTTTAATTTTTTAAATCTATTTGGTATTTAGTCATCGCAAAAATCCTTACGGCAGCAAAATTTTGCAGTTTTGCTCTTGTCTCTCTGTACACTTTATTTATTTTGATTTTTTATCAGGAACTTGACAGTAACAAATTTTGTTTCAAAAACTTCCTCGATCTTTTTTTCTGAGTAAAAAAAATTACATGGAATACAAGCAACAAAAAGTGTCACCGTTACATCACTAACTGTCCTTAATTATTTTCCCTCCTTCTAGTGAGTAAAATAAGCATGTTACATTCATTGAATCTTGCACTGATCAAATGACCGTGAAATATATAATAGCTGCAATCATAAGGAGAAGACTAGGGACTACCAGGATCAGATGGACTATATTTTGCAATTAAGAACTATAATTTCTAGCTCAGTTTAGAAACAACCTATGTACCATCAGTTTCCCTATGCAAATAAGTGTTTTTGCAGGTGAGACAGAAATTATAGTTCCAAATTGCAAAACGTAGTCCAGATGTTCTAGCTAGTTCTACCATGTAAGAGAGAGCTCCGCAATCACTGGAATGGGTATTCAGGTTCTACATTAATTTTGTTTTCTTCCACTTACATTCAAGATGGTTGTTCTGTAAGACAGTAATGGTCTCTAAATCCAATAATGAGAAAATGAAATACGTTGATTCAGCATCATAGGATTTAATAGCTATACCTTTTCCGGTACTTCGAACAAACTGCATCTATTCGGTAATAAATTTCTGAGCTTCCGAGGGAAACAAATATTATTTGTGAGGTACATTATTTTCTCACCTACCAGCAGTGGATTGAATTGTTCAGGGTTATCGACATACCCATAAACCAGGAAAAATCAAGGACAGTTAGAGAATTCACGGTGACCGGGAAAAGTCAGGGAATCTGTGGAAAAAGGGAATTTCTGACACTAAAACATATTACTGATCCTCCATCTGTTTACAATTACTGGTCATTTTTAAGGTATTTCATCTTTTGACCAGCGGCTATTTTTCTCGATTTTGAAAGGGAAAAGAATTTCGAGACTAGTGTCGAATCCTACGTAGTTCGAGGCGTTGAATTGAATACACAAGTCCTAAGGCTTTGTAAGCCAAAAAAAGGACGTTTTTTACTGTATTTGAGGATTTTTTGATTCACCATTTTTCGTCGCTTGCGCAGTCCAATAGACTCTTGGAGCTTTCTAGACTCGAAAATCTGATGCAGGGGGTCATTTCAAGGGGACTAGCTTGGGTTCAGCTCAATCAGAGAACTTTAGATTTTGACCCTAAAATTTTAATTCGTACCAGGGGAAGTTAGTGAATTAGAAAATTTTTGAGTTTGGTAAAAGCAAAAAAGTCAGGGAAGTGATAAAAGTCAAGGAATTTCAAGAAATTATGGCAGTGCTTCTATCCATGTTTGTTTTACATATTTTGTCTCATCTATAAGTAAATTCACAAATTTATCTCCTACTTATTAATCAGCCAAAAATTTTTCCTGCAGTCTTCTCTGGCCAAAGTGTTCTTGTATGAGGCTTTCGCCAGGTTGATGGCTGGCGCCGCTCCTGGTAAAACACAGCAACTCATAGACAGAAGCTTGCGGCAAAGACACCACAAATCGTCTATCATCTGCGGGAAAGGTAAGCCTGATTTACTTCCTCTTCTAGCAGCCCATGAATTCCAGGAGTATTGCTTTCAACGTGACCTAGAGAACCTTCCCAGATAGTGGCAATTCACTTCTCTCCGAGCAGATTTCTTTGACAAATTACAATATTTTTCCATCTACCCAATCAGGAGACTTCAGAACTAGATGTGTGATGTGAAAAGTCCACAAAAATATGGACCAAAAAAATGAACGATTTGGCATTTTTAGTGTCGGAGATCGTTTTGAGTTTTAGCAGCCTAAATAATTTAAAAGCAAAATTTTGATTTTTCCCTTTATTAAAAAGAAAAATTCAGAAAGAAAGTGATGAAATCTGGAATTTTGGAAATACTATGAACTCTGTGTGGTTTTTCAAAATGTAACACTACGATTTTTTTCAAATTGCTTTCAATTTCTGGCTATCCAGATGAACGGAGCAAGCAAAAAGAAATTGAGAGCACCTTATAATGGTACCTATTCAATGAAAACCCTACCAAAAAAAATGTATGATTTTTAATCTAATTCCCTCTAGTCTAGCCTTCTGAAACTTCCCTGAATTTTGGTTGCAAGAGTAATGATTTGTAATTTCTCTTTCATGCTTGCCACGAGCCCTTATAAATGGAATTTTGTTTTCTTGCAGAGAAATCACACCCAGATGTTGGGGGAGACAGAGAACATGCCGCTGCCCTATATTTAGCATGTCGGCACCTGCCATCACCGCTGTTGGCCTCACCTGGAGAGAGAGCTGGAATGTTAGCTGAAGCGGTCAAAACTTTGGAGAAAATCGGAGATAAGAAGAAGTTGCAAGACTGCTATAAACTCATGAAATCTCTGACCAGTTCCACTGTAACCAACTGATCTATGGAATTAATCATAACTGCAGCTCAGGATTTTAATATTCATAATTAAGTTTTTGTAGGTTTTTAACTTTAAAAATCAAATTTTAGTATAGACTATCACTCCCTTTTGAAGGCTCATAATTTTTTCTCGTCTAGTAAGACAGATCAGACTTCCTCGAGTGAGGATGTTACATTGTATAATGTAAAACAACTTAGCTTTAGAGTTTGGAGCAAATACTAAATTTAAGGTCAACTTGCATTGTAAATCTTAGGAGATCGTGGTTTTTTCTTCGATGATAGGCTTGGAAATTTATGACAGTTCAACGCATACTTTTACAAGTGTAGACAGCTTTAGCGGCTACGCCATAGTTTCATATTGCAGTTCTGGTGGTTCAAATTTAAACAGACATATGACCTTGACTTATTCACGCCAAAGTGGTAAAATCAGTCTAGGTGTTTCTTTCAATCAATTTTCTCATGTTCAATGAGTCATTAATTTTATATGACTTGTTAATGAAAAATTTACAACGAATTAATGCAATTAAATTTCACAGAATTTGGAGTATAGGTTGATTTAAACTATTGTACATTAATTGAGCTGTTTCGCATTCACTGCAAATCATTATGTCAAATATCCCAAGAATGACATAGCCACTGAATTAGTCCATATGGAATATATTTCAACGTTCCCTCATCTAGGAACATTACCTACCCTACTGTTGCCAAAGTTTTGGCGTAATATTTTTTATCCAGTAGATTGGAGAAACGTATTTAAAGAGCTTGATAAAAAGTCTAATTACATTATTTTATTGTTGGATTTGTATGCTTGTTATGTAGTGTGTATACTGATCAAATTTTAGTTTTTTATCCAAATTCTCAACCTTATTTGTACTGTTCATTCTTTGTTTGTTAATATGTAGATAATTACAGTATCTATAATTTTCATTCTCGTGTATACTTTTCTTTTCCACAGAAAATTTCTTAATGTTTTCCTCAAAATATGGCTTTGTGCAGCTTACTACTAAGGGCCACTGTTTGCAATGTAAAATGTTCTTCGCTTGTATTTTTTTTAACAAGGGAAAGAAGGTGAAACTAACTGGTTATCACTAATTTTATTTTCATTATTACAACAAAAGTAAAGGTGATAAATAAATAGTTTGAACTTCAGTACACAGTCCTCAATCCAGATGAAAACGAAAGAAAAAAAATAAGAAATTCAATTGTATATTGCAATTTTTCAGTACTTGACTAAGAAGAAAAATACAGTCTCAGTTTACATATAAAAGAAGCTATCAAGCAATCTGAGAATTAATTAAAATGTATCAATACAATCCAAAAATGTATGATCAAATCCAAGGAACTCCTAATGATTAAAGTGTTGTCACCTATTCAAAAAGAAAAAGTAAAAAGTGGATGTGAATCTAATGTTGATTGAAACAATAATGTGTTCTTATTTTAATCAATAAATACACACATACATATGTCTCTCTTGAATATTGAGTAAATTTTGCAAAGAAAAAAAAAAAAACAGCGATAAATATAAAAATGAAAAAAAAATAACAATGCTTCTGTTCCTAGAATAAAGATAAAAGAGATTACAAAGAACAAAGAAAGTACTATCACATTACAAAGGAGTGATGATTATTGCTCTTTCGGTAGTCAGGAGACAACACTTTAGATTTGAACGATGTGAAGAATCCTTCTTAGAAAAAATTAAGAAACTATGGTTGCGCTTACTTGGTTGATTACATTTTCAAATGTATATGAAATAGTCATCTGCACTAAAAATCATCAAAGGGAATGCAGTGTTTCACGATTAGGATCATGAATGATGTGACAGCCATCATACAATTGTTTTCTTCTCTACTTAGGGACATTTCAAAGCAAAAGTAGCAAGCAGTGGTTGACAGGTTTCGACCACTTGATTTTGGTTATGATGCGTCTTGCATATATTGATTGAGAAAAGAGAAAATTTTGCGAGTAATATGCAAGTTAATAATGGGGTTCCTAAAACTTTTTTTTGAAAAAAGTTTTACTCCTCATAATATTTTTAAAAAAAAGAGTTTCAATTAACTGAAGTCTTTAAAATAAAAAAAACTCTGTTTTTTCTTCAGCATAACAAGTTTTATTGTACAATAAAATCATATGCTTAAAAATATATAAATTCTTCTCCACCTGATGCAGGAAGGAGTAAGTAAACTTTATACAGAATAAATTTTGACTTTATAATTCATTTAAAACAAATGAGGCATGGAAAAGAGGAAGTGTTTGCCCTCTTATATTGGACTTCAGAGGACAGCAAAAATAACAACTTCCATATGCATTTGAAAGGAATAAATAGTTGAGGAATAGTTCATCTGCTGCACAAATTGAAATAAAAGAAACTAAAAAAAATAAAATTCAATTTAAATGAAGACTAACACAGAAAAGATTGCACAGTTCTTCACAGATATTTGTGAAATTCCTTCTTATCCTGTTAAAGGCGAGAAAATTGATAGACAGGGTTAGTACAATTAAAACATGATAAGACTTGTTTCCTCACCATAATATTGCGTAGAATTTAAAATCAGTTGATATGAACTCCCTTGTCACAAAAAAATCATTGCCAACATGTGTTAAATCAGCCATTAAAAAATAACTCAAACGATTGGCTAAAAATTAGAGTTTATTTTCACGATAAATCTTCCTCCCTTGATACAAAGCAGTTTTCGACTTTTCAAGAAAAATTCAGCACTGAAAGAAAATTATTTTCATTAAAGTGCACTGACTTTAGCTAAGCGCCTGATCTGGCTTAAATGGACTTTGGTTTTTTTTGCAAGCGAGATGCCTGAACTGTTCAATAAAGAAATTGCCAATTGCTCACAAGTTAAAAAAATTTGATGCGTCCACCACATTAACTTTTGATGAGAAAACAAGTGTTGTCTTGCTTCTTTTGTGACGTTGTCTGATAGTCCATTACATACTTCTGACATTGTAAGAAAATCAACATTTTTATGGCAAAATAAAAACCAGTCAATAGTCATAATAGTCTTCCTGCACCAAATAAAAGAGTAGTCACATAAGAGTTAAATTGTAATTTGAGGCAGAATAAAAAGAGACAAAAGCAGCACTGTGATGAGTAATACAAAATTATCAATTTTTGATACTTTCCCTCTCGAACGACTTTACAACAATTTCAATTAAACTACAAAAATTTGGACACATAAATAAAAGTAAGACTTAACATCATATCATACACCTTAAAATACTTACACGATATAAAAAAATTATTTAAAAAATAAAAAAAAAAAGAAGAAGAAGGAGAAAACCAAGATGTAAATTTGCACTGAAAAAATACAAAATTGTTAAAAAAGGAATACACTGGACAAAATTCAAGTCTGCCTCTTGATGGTTAACGTTACAGTGATGATAACATAAACAAAAATGGAGAAAAAGAAACGGTTCACTGCTCAATTAGTATTTTTTATTCGCAAAACATAATAGGACTATTTAACAAGAGACTTTTCCTATCATTCTTACATAAAAAATGTTGTGAGTTCTTGATTTTACGGTTATTAAAACCAAATTAATTAGGTTACGGTGTTTCAAAATTGTTACACAACTTTTTAGACGAGGGAAAACCCCCTAGAAGCTTTAAAGACCTATCTGAATATTGATGCCTCAAGTCGAAAAAAGCGCATCTCCGGTGCAACATTTTAAAATCTCAAGATGGTGTCTGATCTTTTGAGAGGAGAATAACCAAAAGATTTCCTTGCAATTTTCTGTGAATACATTCAAATGAGTGTAGAAAGTTTACAGAGAATTCCAGTCATAACTGTTCGTTGATTTTCTTCTAAAAACAATGAAATATGAGCAGAGATTTTCAACTTTTGGATCAGAGAAACGCTTTTTTTTTCAATAGTCATTGAGACTGTCAAGTGTGGTTCCATGAAAAGTTCTTCTGATGGATATATCAAGAGATAGAATTTGATACGTTAGATAGCTTGGAAGGGGACTTCCGTAGGCTCAGAAAATATTTCGACGGGCGAGAGAACTGGCCAATGCAGCGATACTGAGGGTGAGGAATATTTTGAGATGAGAGAACCTTGAAAAAATTTAAGAAATGGAATTTAATACTTTATCTTGTGGTTGAAAATACCTTTACATGACTTTAGGATATAAGCTGAGCAGCCTACACATTGAGCACCCCTGTGAATAAATTAATAAATAAATAAATAAAACTAACAAAAACTCTTCGTACTAACCAATCGAGGGAAAATATGGTGAACACTTAAAATGACTTTTGCAAGCTCGCTGTTCCCTGGGGAGACATCGGTTAGGAGAAAAAGAAAAAAGAGAAAGAAAGAAAGAAATAGACAGAGAAAGAACAGTCTCAAGTTCATTCAAAAATTGAGCTATGTACATTATCGATGATTATAAAGAACATTCAGAGTAAAAGGAGCAAACAACTCTTCATAAAAATATTTAAAGACTCAACACCACCCTTTTTCGGTGTGTGAATTGGGTACATGTTTTCTTTGTCCTAGCTCACATCAGGAAATAGCCCAAGCAGTATCAGGGGATGGACAGACGAAGAAGCATTTTATTGAGGAACTTGCAGTTTTCACTAATCCAGCTATTGAAGGGCCTGAGAGGTTTTCCTTGAGGAGAAGTGCCTTTCGAGGACCTTTTTTAGCCCTACCGAACTACTGTCTTGATAGCAAAGTAAAAAAAATGCATACCTCCGATTGCAACATTGCAAATCCCCACTCATCATTTATTCCTTCAAAAGAAAATAAGCGAAAAATTTTATTGAAATTTTGGTTACTTTATTTTCGAAAATGTAAAAAAAAATCAGAGATTTTATAATGTTACAATTTAGATACACGTTTTTGTACTTACGCCGTTGACCCATCTCTTGTAAATCGTCAGAGGGTAGGAGAAATAATAAAGAAAATTGTCTTCGGTGCATTTTCAGATTGATTGCGTACCTAGTTTGACTAAATGGAGCTACTTCACACAAGTACTGATGCTCAGTTGGTCCTACAAAATATTGCAAAAGTTTGTTTCACAAATGATTTAGGGGACAATTCTTGTTTTTGGTATGGTTTGAAATGTGTTCAAAGAGTGAGCCGCAGTATGTCCACCAGTAAAAACGACTTGGTGAGTACAAGTGTGGGTGTGTGGGANGGGGGGGGGGGGGGGGGGATATCTGAGTGTATAATATGTTACATTAAAAAGGGACGGTTGCTAGGCAGTCAAGCCTGACATTACTTAATGGTCCTAGTTTGAAAAATTTCAAAAATATTCTTGTGGCATTGGAGGGGCCATTACTTAAGGTAGAATACTGAATACGTATGATAGGGTAAAGTTATTGAAAATTAATGTACCACTTGAAAAACTGGCGAAGTTTGCTAAAAAATAATATGATTAGGTCGTATATACAGTGCTGAGAAATATAACAAACTCTTGGAATAAATTCATTCAAGTTGTTGTGAGGAAATTTTAATTTTTATGGTCAATTTACACAGTAGAATTCTTAAGTACGTGTACAAGCAGATATATCAATTATTTTGACACATGTTACACCTTAAAATGTACCAAAAAACTGCAAAAAAGTCTTTTATACTGATTCATAGCTCATAGAATTTGCATGAGAAAAGACCTGTATTCCAGCAAAAATGTGAGGAGAGGCCATTTTAGACATTCAACCATTAGCAATCATGTATAGTAGTAATAAAACGAAAATACTTGATCACAAATGTTGAATAGAGTTTACCAAAGAATTTTTGCCGACCAAATTTAGGGTCAAAATTACGCTTTACAGGCACACCTTTTCCCTTTTTAAGTTTAACTCCACTCCACAAATGAGATTAGAATAAATTTTCATCGTTTTTTAAGACTTTCTTTTGTGCAGTTCCTTCTTATTTACTTAGCAATAAAATCACTTGCGCAGAGTATACATATCACAAAAAAAAGGAAAATACATTTTCCTTACACAGTCAAAATGAAGAGCTTGGAAGAATTTGGAGTTTTTATGTGGAACCCAACCTGCAAAAACAAACTCTAGTATAAAATAGGAGAGAAGAAAAAAAATTACATTGAATGGAGTACAGAATGACAAATTCTATTGGAAAAGTTAATGAAAAACCTAATTTATAGCCAGACGCTTAACGCTTAATATCGTTAGAATTGATGTGTTGGGGAAATCCTTCAAGGAATGGGTCTTTCTGTGAAACTGATTTAACATGTTCACTGCTGACATGTTACTATGCGATTGCTGCTGTTAGGCCTGAAAAAGCGCAAAAACACCGAGAATGCTTCAAACCGCCGTTATTGATGACTACCGCAACACTTGCGTTTCCTGTTGAGTTACACATGTAACTAGTACTTGACAAATGATTCTGTGCAAGACCCATTAACAGTGCCTCTATTGAACATGAGCATAATGGAAATGTGCAGCACAAAATGCCGATCACTGAGACTGTTTTAACCTAGCCTGACCAACAAAAAAAGGTCAGGATGACTGGCCTGGCAATGAACGTGTTAAATAAAGCCACTGCCACAAAATACATATTGCACCATCACATACCAGTAATCATGAACTGCGGTGCTCAAAACTTTCATCATTTTTTTCCAAACAGACAAAGCCCTATTTTCTACATTGAAAGTTTTGGTGTTAACTTCAGGTCTTGTAATGTATGTTCTGCTTTAATGTCATGCTTATAAATTAATTTAATCTTGCTTGAAGAAATAAATAAAGATAAGTTTTGGGATGCCAAAACAGAGGCACACATTTTCTTATTTTCCATTTTTACTCAGGTTTAATACAAAAACTTCGAAAATTGCAAAATCAGCACAAAAGCATGATTTTGAGCACAAAATCATGAAACGCCTCATCGGACCTGAGTTTAGGAAGATGTTTAGGTTCCATCCAATTTTACTGAAATAGCATTCCTCTGAGAGATTGCCCCTTCTTTGACAGGTAATATTTTTTGGGTCCATTCGAATTGAGCTGACATTTGACTGTATGAAAATACTGACTATTAATCTAATACATCCTAATAAGAGCATGCAGTACTGAACAGAGACAGAGCCAGTAACTAGGAATTAAAAACTTGTAGAGTAATCGGTACATACAGTTTATCCAACTATTTTGGAAAAGAGAAAACATTCTTAGAGATATTGATTTCAAAGAGATTAAGACAAAATTAAGTCTCTTCAGTACGAAGAGACAAAAACTCTGAGGTATAAATTTTTGCTGAGCTTAAAGTTACTTAATTTATAACTGATACTGAGTGTTAACAGCGATTGCGAAGATTTATACGTACTTGGTTTGCTAGCACATAATGGAAATATGGACAACACCGTTTAAATTTACGAGGTACTGAGAGAAATTAAGTACAATTGCAGCGATATCAATTTGAGAAGTGAACATTTTGACTATGCGGGACAAGAGAAGACTCCCAGGAAGTGAACTACTGGTGCAACTTCCGCCAAATGCCGGACTCCACGAGAGAGGGTTCTACCGACATCGTTAAAACTTTTTTTCACAACAAGAATGAAAGGAATGTTGAAGTGGAACTGCGGCATACGTTACCGTTAGGAGTCTTCGATAGACGGACTCGTTGATGCGTGGCTAGTTTCATACTCCATCACTTCTTGGTAAATGAGCTCTTTCCACTGCTCAACAGTGTGTTCTCGCTCATCGACGCTGTGATCGTATGGGCCAGGTGCAGGCTGAAAGGAGATTTATGAAAATAAAATTACGGTCATTTCTTAGTTAACCTAACGAGAATACATAAGAGCAAAGAACAAAATGTCTTGGCCCTTAATAGGTTAACTTTGAGAGATGATACTGGTGGTGCTTGACGCCAATTCTCAAAGAATTAAAGGCATTTGTTCAAAATTTACAGTCTTGGTCACCCTGTGAATTTTGGTTATTTGGTCTATTTCTTGTTTCTGTCTCCCCCCCCCCCCCTCTTAAATTTTGGCGCATTCCGAAATCACTTGGAATGCATAAGGCGACATAAATATGGTCTTCTATGACCATTTTGAATGAAATTGAACAACCAGACCTTTAGATATGGCAGTACACATATTTTCAAGGACACTGGGCGTATGGAGATAGGTATGGGTTTTGACTTCAGGCATCTTAAACTGCCTAGAAATTATGAAATTTTACATTTTTTTAAAAAGATGACAATACTCCTAACTTCTTCTACCCACAAGGAGAGTGAAAAAGTAAAATTTCTCTATGCGCTGAGATAAATTCTTTATTATGAGAATATGCAACTTGGGTCTTCGCAAAAAATAGATAATTTGAGCAATGGAATAGATAAACAAAAAGTAAATTTCAAAATGAATTGCTGAGAGAGAAAAGAAAAAGTTAACTTACAGCATTAACTTCTCCCTCATCGTACCATACATTGATATACGGATGAAGCAGAGCGTCATCCACGGAGATCCGTTTTTCAGGATCAATGACAAGCATTCGGGATAACAGGTCACGAGCTTGGCTTGCTGCAAAATGAAAAAATCTTGGTTATGAGATGCACACACATTATAATTGATACATCCGCTGAAGCTAAAGTCAAAACAGGGGAACTTATCAACAGTTTTTTGAGCTGAATACAATGAAATCTTGCTAAGTCAAACTACGGTTAAGATGAAACACTACCAGAGTCAAAAATTTCTTTGGACTCTAGACCCTGCCATAAAAAGAAATACAAAATCCTACAACTAAGATGAATTCGTGACTTGAGTCGGGAAAGAAAAGCTGCTTAAGTCGATAAAAACTTTTCCGAAAACCCGGCAAAAGTTCGATTTCATATGTGAAAAATCAAAAGAGGGAAGCAAATCTAAAAGAGAGAAAAGTTTCAGCAATAGGTTTATGATCGCATATATGTATTTTTGAAAGAAGCATAGAAGTAAGAGCTTTAAAATCTGTGACTTCTGATGTTTTTTGATTTGAAAAAAAAAAAAAAAAAAAATCAGCTATAATTCTAATTGAAGAAGTTACTGATCATTGATTAATTTGTGTTTGGTGATGGTTGTAAATTAATGGAGGTTACATGAGTTCCAATGTATTAAATGTGATTTCATGTGAAGCGCTGTTGCTGAAAATGTATGAGAAAATAAAATTTGATCGTAAAATAGGAGTCAAAAAGCCCTAGATTCGAACCCGGGCATAGTCTGCTACGGTTCAATGCTCTACCATAGAGCCATCACCTGCTGTGTGAAGGGAACTGCTAAACTGCGTACATCCACGAGAGCATTTCTTCCCCTAGCCTAGCCCTCCCGGCGCGGAGTCACTGGGTGTCCGACGCGCACTCAAAACAAGACTTTTCGGAATTATTTTAGGGTGTTTCCAGGGCGCATTGGAAAAAACAAAAAAAAACGGTTCCAACAGATTCATACAAAGAGTTTGTACGAATTTTTTCAGCCCGATCGAGGGCGGCAACTTGGGAAGTTCCCCTTGTGAGTGAGATTTCTTTACCAGCACAGTATGACCCTCGTGATCTGAGTTTGACCAAGGAGGTTTGGCCGGGAAAAATGAGAACCCTGGTTAAGGTCTACATCATCAATTCTAATTAAATTCGCCTTGACTGAAACGCATTTGATTGACAGATGATCGCCATAACTGAAGGCCATGCTTCGGTCTTTAAGGTATTACAATAGCCTAAAAATACCCTAGAGAGTATCTCTGTTGGTTGCATTTAACCTCCAATCAAATCTGACATTTTTTGGGAAAAAACTGTGATAAAAAGCTGCTAACTTTAGAGGCACTACATCCAAAATTTCTACTTATTCCATTTGGAAGTTGGTTGCTGATTGGCAGGCTAATTGTTGAGATACATGTCAGTGCAATTAGACATCAAAAATGAATATATTACATAGTGCCAATATGGGCGACATCTTGTCTTAACTTGCTGACAAAGTAAGAAATATTTTCAACAAGGCTTACAGCTCTACAAGGTATCTTAACCTGTCCCAATCTGAAAAATTCTTGAGAGAGATGTTTGATAAACGAATAATTAATTAAAGAAATTTTGCTGTGAACTGCAACCTTTGACGATCAGGGACTAGTATTATTATTTGAGCAGCGTTCAGGGAATCACGAGTCATTTTAAAGAAACTTGAGTTGAGGAGCGTCTCTAATTTTTGTAAAGGCATATTTTCGATTGCCAACAAATTTCTAGTCTCCAAAAACTTTCAGCATGCGATGATTCGCCTGGAAGTTTCTTTGCATGAAACATAGAGTTACCAATCAATTAATGTAATTTCAAAACCGAATTTCAAAATTGAACTTTCAAAACCTTCACTTACAATTAATTACCATTTTAGTTCAAGCACTTGACATTATTTAAAAAAAATTTAGCCTTGATTCTTACAATAACTCAGCATTGGCGATAAAACTAGAGAGACAAGTCGAATAAACATTTAACTGTCCTCGTTCAAGAGCCAAGTAAGCGAACCTAGGAAATTACATTTCTATATTTTAAAACTTTCACACTCATTGAGTAAGCTGCATTGACATCCAAAAAAGAATAAGAAGAAAGAATTGAATCCTGAAGTTAGAAACTTTACCTTTCAATTTATTGTGCTCAGAAGAATCAGACGGAAACAAGACATCTGGAAATAGTCGGTCAAAAGAATACCCGGGGTACCTCGGCCGGTTTTCAACATAATTTCGAACCGTGAGCTGCAGCCTTTTCATGAATTCTGCAGACGGAGTGCCAAGTTGTTCTGATGAGAAAAAGAGACATGCTAGTTGTAGAATATGGTCAAATACTGATGAAAGAGACGATTTCTCTGATAAATAATAATAATAATAATAATAATAATAATAATAAACGGAATAAAGGATGTGTCCCATTAAGGGGAGTTTCTTTGGCCCAAGAGGTTTGAGGGTCTAAGTATGCTAGCCTTTTAGTTTAGACCGTAAAACACTGAGAAACACTCATTTGAGCTGAACCGGTTGTATCTCTAAGGAATTGCCAGCAGTTGAAGTTCAGTGATTATGCCAATTACCTGCTGATTACCGTTCACTGTGCGCTGATTAGCTTGACCACTGTGTGCCCATCAAACGGACTATGCACTACAGTATTGTTAATTGTTATTGGACCTAATTACCAATACCAATTAACCAATATTGTTAAGGACCTAAGTATTGTTAATTATTTCAAAAACTATTCTCAGACTTATTGGGTTACTTTTGCAACTACTGAAATTGAAAACATTGACACAAAATTCGAATAAGTTTCATATATCAATTTATTTTCCAGGATTGTGAAAAGTGACATAAGTTCACTTTTAAGTGCCAGCGAAAGGGACTACCACTTTCATATTCGAATATGTTAATCTTTAGTACACCCATTACAACATATTTAAAGGAGAAAGTGGTAGTTGCTTGTGCTCATACGGAAACAATCTAATTTAGGACCGAAAATAAGCAATTATTCGAGAAAACTGCAAAACTTCACTACTTTGCACTGGTAAATCAGACAAAAACCTTTCAAAAACACCTCAAATAAGGACCAATTCTCACAGGGTAGATGATTAAGAGTCGATTTGACCATACACCACATTATTCTAAGCTGTTTCAATTTTCGACCAAAGTTAGAGCCAAAATACCCTCCATAATGGGACACATCCTTTATTTCAAAACCAGCCTTGAAAAGAAAATTAACTTCAAAACTGGGTCTACTGGAAGAATTTTTTGAAGATTGTTTTTTGCAGCCACATTAAAAATGTGTCATTGAGGCAGCAGTGAAACACTGCGGTGAAACACTGGGGTGAAAATGGTTCACTAAACCTTGTTTTATATTTAATATTCTATTTGTAGCAGGTGAGTAGATTGTGAGGTGATTCATTGTGTATTTCTGGAGCCAAAATCCCGGACAAGCCCGCTTTTAAAAAGTCCAAAGACTTCAAGGAATTTAAGAGGCGCCGGAATGGCGGGAAAATGATGGGAGTGCTGTCCTACAGTCAGTCAACTCGCTTTCTCCTCTCATTTCTCACAGCTGTTTGTTAAAATAAAACATATGTATTTCAATGTGGAGCTGTAGCTCCTTCATTACAGATAACATACAGGGTGTAACAACTAAGGGGCGACAAACTTTCAGGGGTTGTTCTATGGCTCAAAACAAACAGAAAAGTCCTGTACCAAAATCCTTTAAGATGCATGGTTCTCGAGTTATACAGAGTTCAATTTTTGAAAAAAATACTGTGTTTGGTTGTGATGGAGTTAGACCGCTAAAAAAAAATACCGTATTATCGTACGTGACGTACATCATAACCGAACACATACGGTATTTTTTTTCAAAAATTGAACTCCCCGTAACTGAACCATGCATCTGACCATGCACTGAGAACCATGCATCTTAAAGGATTTTGGTGCAGGACTTTTCTGTTTGTTTTGAGCAATAGAACAACCCCTGAAAGTTGTTACACCTTGTATATGAGATTCCATTCATTGATTCTGAAGATAAAGTTTTGACTTTTTAATCGTCATCGTCTGTAAGGAGTAGAGGGACATTTGAGAGTCTTAGAAATACTTGCTTGCTTCTGATTGGTGCCAAAAGGTATCATTTGGTTTGGCGCAAAACCAAAGCATTTTTTATTTGCGGAAACATTGCACTTTTGAACTACTCTCGGTTTCTGAGTTACTTTTTTGCATATTGCATATGAACATCGTATTGTAAGTGTCATTTACCTTTGGAGAAATGTATTTGCAAGTCAAAATTCGTTCATAGTTTACTGATCCGTTGTGACGATACTATTAAAGGCTTTTTTCATCTTGATTAGTAAAATCTATAGATAATAACCTTCAATATTAAGTGCCTTCAATGCCCTTCAATATTAAGTAGAGATTTCTCATCGCATTAAGGAGACAACAGAAGGATCAAAGAGAGCGACCAATGCGAGACTTACCGATAATTTTATTCCATTGATCAATGTGATCAGTGCCAGGGAAAAGAACGCCACCTCGAATCATTTCGCCCATTATACAACCAACGGACCAAATATCAACATTCTCTTTGTAACCCATTCCCAGGATTACTTCCGGTGCTCGATAATACCGAGTCACAACATATGGTGTCATCATGAAAGTTGTACCCGCAGTTCTTGCAAGGCCAAAGTCTAGTATTTTTAGAGTACAGTCTGACTTTACAACTATATTGCTTGGCTTTAGGTCCTGCAAATACAAAAGGATATAATTACCACGAGCATACAAGTCTCAAATATGGACACATCAGTTTGCAGAAACTGTTTTGAAACTAATAACTAAGAGGTAGTGGCAGAGATGAGCTCTGTAGGATGATTTACTGGTATGACAGCCAATTACAATGCAACCTCACCTAAGATCCTTACAGGGTTGCTTTAATATCTTTTTCTTCAAATTCCCTGACTTTTCCTGACTTTTTTAGCATTTCATCACTTCAAAATTTCTTAATTCCCTGACTTTGCGGTTTTCCAGACTGCCAGCAATCCTGATCCACCACCGATTTTGAAGTGAAGCTAGGCCAATAATTGGAAGATAAACTGCACAGCGGCTGAATTTATGAAAAATTAGGATATTTTAACGGTTACCAGCCTCTCTTAAAATGATGTTTCCACCAGCGCTCTGAACCAGCATGTTCATTTCTTACTCATGAGTTAATATCGGAAATTTGTGATATGTTCAACAAAATCTGGTAGTGCTGAATTTCTTAGTATGTCTAGTAGTCCATTAATTCAGTAGAAACATCTTGTGGAAACAAGCCCTCAGGATAGACAGGGTAGAATAAAGTTTTATTTACCCTATGAATAATACCAGCTGCGTGAAGATGTTTAATCCCACACAGCATTTGGTAGAGGAGATAAGACATCCGCTCATGATCTAGATCCATTTGTATAACTTGGCACAGATTTGCATCCATCAGTTCCATCACTAAATAAACATCTTGAAATTCTTCTAGAGTTCTTTGTGGTGTAAAAGCATTGAGTAATCCAATAATCTGTAGGATATCAAGCAGAATTATTATTCAGTTTTGTAGACTTTTTGGAAAAAAAAAAAAAAGACACGGGAAGTCCTTCGAGGAGAGTTTGACAACTTTACAAACAACAATACTATGCAGGGCATTAAGATGTAGCTACACTAATTTTGTTTTTACTTAACCCTTCCTCTACTATGAACGCAGCATCTGTATTCAGCAAAACCCTATTCTTTCTGCAGCATTTCCACCATTGCTTTAAAAAAACTTAATCAGAAAAAGGCAAAAGAAAAAAGAAAACAGGTAAATCTTGTCTTTAGAAAAGAGTTTGGCAACTTCACAAACAACAATCCTGTACTGAGCATTTAAATGTAGGTACATTCTATCCATCGCTTAATTTCTGCTGAAGAAACGCACTTTAAATGGAGGAATAGAATTAACACCTTGAGAAAGAAAGGATCCTTCAAACAGGAGAATCGAAAACTCAAAAACAAAAAGAACTATATTGAACTGATTTAACAAATAATTATTCAAAAAAAAATTGTAACTTGGTCTCTATCAAGAGGAGAGAGGGAGACGATATTTAAACCGATGTTTCTTTTTGAGTGACTGAAAAGTGAAGGTGGAATGAAATCATCCAAGAGCATACTTACATTTTTATGGTTGACAAGTTTCATTAACTTAAATTCTCGATAAGCACGCTTCGCGTGAGTAACATTTTGGAAAGGTCTCGATAACTTTTTGATGGCAACATTCTGTTGGGTAATGGTATCGTATGCAGCGCTGAAAAAATAAAAAAACATTTCTTAGGAAAAGAGCTCATTTCAAAACTAGAGTATTTGTAAAAGTGCATTATCAATTGGCTATCATGGTAAACATTCTGAGCACCTGAAAAATAACTCGCGCATCAACGAAGCCATTATCCAAACGAATAATTATAAAAGGTAAAAAAAATCTAATTCTTAAAAATCAACAGATATTAATTGGTTGTGAGGTGAAATTACTTGAAATTCTAGATGGAAAACTTGCCTATATTCTCTAGAGAATATAGGCAAGAAAAATTTTCATCTTTTCCTCATGCAAAGATTTACGTAGGCTGAAAGGTATTGACAAGTAGATCATACTAGTACTGATATACGTTTGCATCAACCAAGAGAACAACCACTATACACTCACTTAAAGTTGAAAGTCACACTAATCATGAACAAATGTACGACGTGCTCATTAAAAAAGTCATTACTTAAAACCTAGCTACTATTATTTGAAAAGCAATTTCGTACCCATAATGGGAAATTATAAACACTCTTTTCATGGGCTATGGTAACCTGGAATAAAAGCGGGTACTTGCATTTCCGTCTTGCAGAGGAAAGCGATTGACCGATCCAGAAATGGATTATCCACAAAATGCATTATATCGAGCACTACATAAGAAACCATTGGAGGTGAAAAGTCAATTTTCTGATTGGTCACGCGATTTTAAAGGCGCGAAAACACGTCGATAAGCAAAGCATTGGAGAAATTTCTGAGGTGAATTTCTCGGAGACCTACCAATTTAATCTTGCTGAAACTTAAAGAACTTTGACATTTCGGAGCATCAAAGTGCTAATATAATAAATAAATCTTGAAAATTGACGAAAATCCAAGAGAAATCAGGCTGACTGTGAAAAAATTTTCCATTCAAATAAACGTGATTTTGAACAATCAGGTCCAGCAGATAGTCTTTTTCCCGAGGTAGAAGTATCCACGCATTTGTTAGGAGTTATCTTGCTACAGGCCAATATGGACCTCCTGAGCTTGGCGGCAGTCCATTACTATTATCTTGCATTCAATTCACTGGTAGAATACTCAAATCCCTGGAAGCACATCAACTAAACATGCAGCTGGTCTTCCACCTTTTTAATCTCTACCAAAATCCTCACTAGCAAAATAATCTCTCCTTTGATATTAGAGATAATTCTGATACAACCAATTTTGTTGAAGTCTTTCATGAGAGAAAGTATCAGAACAAAAAAACAGGAAAGAAGGCAATTGAAAATCTACTGTGAAAAGGGTACATTCAAAAGATTGAACTTAAAGTTTAGAACTGAGAATAAATACAAGGATTGAAATTTCAACTGACTCCTGAAAGCGAATAATAAGTATAAGTAAAGTGAGGAAGATGAAAAAGGAAGCCCAAAAGGCGAGCGTTGTCACTTGGAGAACACAAGTGTCAACTTATTCAATGAGAGTTGTAATATTTTTGAACATGCTAAACCTGATAGAAGACTGGATGGATACTTACCAAACCATTCCCTGTGCTCCTAATCCTATTGGCTTGAGATCTGTATACCGTTCAGGGATTTTAAATTCAGAGTCACCAAATAACATAGAGTAGAATACTGCCATTAGCTTGGATTTTTGCATTCTATCAAACATACGGCTAACAACTGAATACAGGCATGCCATGACCTACCATTTTGGCACAACTAAAAGTGAAAAATCAAAATAGATACTATAGAGCAACATCAAACCAAAAAATGCGAAACTAATAAAAATAAAAAGAAGATAACAAGGAAATAAATATTGGAAAAAAGAATAAAAATTGAGGGAAATTGGCCCAGGAACTTTCTGCCAGAAGCTAATAACAAGGAGAGAATAATAAAGGACAAAGATTATTCTGTGTGAAAAAAGGCTTATTTGTTGATGAGGATGTGAAATAAAAATTCAAATTTGAAACGAGCAAATTGCCCGTAAGGGGGTGGGAGTGGAAACGTTATTGCTGATTTGTTTAAAATAAGAATTTGTTCATCTTATTATTGAGAATGGCCCAAGACAATAATATCTTCCCACGCTTAAGTACTGGTTTATATTGTCTTGCTGAAGAGGAACGCCGTAAGGGCTGTTTGGCATTGCCAAGTTTCCCTTAGTAAAACATGAATTCTCAGGGGGACAAACGAATATTTTTCTTTTCATTTTTTAGGGGATTTTATATGCAATTTATTCTGAAATATCTGAAAATTTCAAGGAAAGATGCACGTAGATTTCCTCAAAAAATAAATATGTTACCGTGAGAAATCTAATTAAAGTCTGATCCAAAACCCCGTTAGCTTTCACACGGTTTTAGACCACAAATAAATAAAGAGCAATACAGATTACTCGAACCAATTAATGCATGATTATTTTATCGGAAACAATGCAAAAAAATAAAAAAGTAGCTTTTTCCACTGAATAAAGTTCTCTCCGATAAAAATAGCAAATTTAGGGACAAAACTAATTTTCTCTGGATGAAAAATGTGTGGGAAACTAAATATATCATCTAGCACTGCTTTCGTTTTCAGGAATTTTCAAGAAATTTACACAAACCATAGAATTATTACAGGAATAAAAGGGTAAGGTAAAGTTTAGCAAAGGGCAATACCATGAAATTCTACTTGAGTGGCTTAGGTATAACTCTATGAATTTCAAAGAATTGACGTATTCAAAAAATAAAATTTAAAAAAAATTAAATAAATAAATCATACGGATGTAACTAAAAAGAAAACTTGTAAAATTTACAAAATACTGAAATGCATAAAGAGGTGCTGAAAGATTGCTTGCAAAGGAAATGAAAATTAAGTGAGGATTCGAAAACTGTCTTAGAGCTAGCGGAGTATACTGAAAATCCCAGAAGATTTAGGCTTTATCAACGAGTCACGTGATCCTGGTAGAAACACTAGCTCCTCGGTAGAACACTACTTTGTTCCCACTAGGCAAATCTACTAATGAAAACAGAAAACTGACAGTTGATAATATTAGAAAATAGTATTCTTACCAAACGATGCCTTGTGCACCAGATCCAATCGGTTTCAAGTTTTGGTAACGTTTTAAAATGGTAAATTTGGTGTCTCCGACCTCCACAGTGTAGAGCCGAGAAGACATTTTTGGACTGAGGAACGGCATGCGAAATTTAGTAGACTCCACCAATTCTAAAACAATGCAAAACAAGATGTGATTTAAGAAAAAATTGGAATCATAAAAAAAGACAAATTCGGAGAGATTGATGCATCGTTCAAAGGAAGATAACGCCACGCTTGAATGAGATCAGAGGTCTCAAATGATTAGGCAACATGGTCACTGGTAGCATCACCTGACAAAAGGGTCCAAGGGGGGGGGGTGTTTTTTAATCCCCCGCTCTTAAAAAAGGTACGTGCGAGAGAAATGTAAACCAACTTTTTACCTACATTGAACACCTGACGTACAGGGGAATTTGTTTGCTTTCTCAAAAATATAAACGTATATAATTATGTATACGTGATGAGAAGGGCGGTGGTAAAGATACAAAAAAAAAATCTCATTTCCAATGAAAGAAAACAACTAGTTCTTGAATTAAAACCGGGGGAAAGCAACTCGTCAAGTAACTGGCAATGAGACTAAAGAGGAATTATCAAAATCCCGACAGAAATAATTGACCTTGTATTCTGTGTCGCCTCGTCAAAAAAGAGAATCGGTGGTTCTGAGGAAATTAATCGGCGGTTTCTTTCCTAAATGAATGGTGATTAGAAAAAGCTTCCGAGGTTGTCCCCTTCAGGGTTGCCACAGAATTTAGAAAATGAAATTCCCTGCCATTTCCCTGACACATTTTGGTGAAATTCCCTCACAATTGAAGATGTGACGGATGTTTAAGAAGGCATAATTGAAAATAGTTTTTAGGCAAAATTTGTGGTTCGAAATCTCAAACCCATTCTAGAAAGCAAATTAATGAAGGCGATTTAACAAATTTTCCCTGATACTTTCGTCATTCTCCCTGACTTTTTAAAATTCCCTGACATTTCCGGGTTTTCCCTGACTGTGGCAACCCTGTCCCTTACGAAAGAACGTAACTACATTTCAATGTTGCCAAATTTTCCCGCGCAAGTTGCACCTTTAACGGGAGAATTTTGGGAATTTCTAACTGTAAATTTCACGGATTTTCCTTCTGATCTCATATAGAAACCAGACAAATTTTCAACAAAAATTGCGTAGGTACATTCCTGTAAAAAATTTGATTGATTGGGCCAATTTTGCAACCTTGGAATAGAGTTGCGTTCCTTCGTTTAGGAAACGAGGATTTCTTAGACTGGAAGAAAATTGACAATACAAGAAATGAAGGAAATGCTAGGAATTTCGATAAGTTCCTTGCCATGCGCCATTCTGCAATTTCTGCACGGCTATAAAAGAGAATGGTTATGATGAAAAGATAATCTATTAGCAAATCATCTATGGCTCGAACAAGAATTTAAAATGAATGGAACATTTTCAAACTTGACCATGGAAGCGAGAACGAACCAAGTTCCAGGGCCCCGAATTCAATCCGCCTGAAATTATGAAAGGATCGCCTTCAAAAATCTCTGCATTGTGGAGGCAAAATTCGCGATACGACTATTTCGACGTAAAAGTAGCTCAAATTGCATAATCATCAAGATGAAGGGAAACTCAGTTCCTCGTTCAGGATGATCCGAAGGACCGAAAGAGACCGTGGCGTGCTTTGCGATATTTCGCTTGTTATGCCATTTAAACCTATGGAAAGGATCGATAAACAGAATGTTCGCAGCGAACACCTTCATAATCGATTCTTTGCCATAGGTTTAAATGGTGTAACAATCGATACATCCTAATTCACGCCACGCCACTGGAAAGAGAGAACGCCGTATGAGCCATTGGAGTTTGCAAAAGTTCTTGTGATAAAACAGGAATTTTATGGGAAACTTGGAAATACTTTTCTAGGGAATCACAATTGCATCAAAAGTGTCTGAATATTCAGGGGGAAAATATTACAATAACTTTCCTTTATGGCAAAAAAAAATAAGAATTGTACAGGGAAAAATTTGGAATAACGCTCGGATGTTCACACGGCGTGGTCCCTGACAGTTTAAGAAAATGCCAGCCCGGTAGGCAATTCTTGCGTGGGTAACACTATTTCCGCCCTCATTTAAAACCAATAAGCCCCTGTTACACGATCCAAGTAGAGGCACTCAAAGTGGCACTAATTTTTTAATCTCCAAGGCAGTTTTGCGCGAAATTCCTTGAAAACTTCAAGGTTTGATCTATGTGCCCCGACCAAATCAAAAGGGAACAGTCGCGACCATGCCATAAATGAGCCTGTTCGAAAGCAAAGGCTTTAATAGATCGATACTAGGCGAAGCTTACAATCATAGATTTACATCACATAAAATTAAACGGATCAATAGTATTAATGGTGGTCAGACTCTTTACCACATTTTGTTTGGTCCAAATGTTTGTGGTCCATCTTCAGGTTTGTCCGACAGTTTTTTGTACAATGTTATTTGAACCAATAGTTTACTTAGTACTTGGTAATTGATTAAAATGAGTTTACTTAGTCCAGTTACGAGCAACGACATAGGTGCTAAGATTTCGCCAAAATAATGAGATTCAACCCTTAGATGCGCAAGCCGGGTCAAACTAACCAAAGGATCGCTGACAACACGTGTTCCGCAGGTATTATGCGGCCGGTGCATCCGAACTTGAGGTGGAGGTCTACAAATATAACTTGAAAAAATAATAAGACATCAAATTGAAAAAAATCTAATATCAACACAGCGGAAGATAGGATATACGTTTTTGGGGTCTGGTTTTTTTCAACTTTTCTCCCGAACCAGAGCGACAGATCATTGGCAGCCTAGAGCGGAGCTTCGCGAGCTCACGCCTCACGCCCTAGCGCCTTCAATTTTGCAGATACGACACGGACATCCATCAAGCACGAATAGTTGTATCCCTACCCCGTCATCAACGCGCGACCTTTCCCTTGCTCTATTTCCACGTTATGTTGGTTCCGTCTGTCTTATTTGTAGTAGTGCTTCTAGGGCTACGTTAACAAAACAGCTGAAGATAGGAGAGATGTAATCGGGCCTTTTTTTACCTTTTCTCTCGTATTCAAGCGACACCTCACTGACTGCATAGAGCGGAGCGTTGCAAGTTCACGTATCGCGCCTTCAAGTTTGTAGATACAACACGGACATCCATCAAGCACTAATAGTTGTATCTCTGCGCCGTCATCAAAACGAGTCCTTCCTCTTACTCTATTTCCATGGTGTGTTGGCTCCGTTTGTCTTATATTTGTAGCTGTGTTTAAAAGGCTACGTGAGCAATACAGTCAAAGTTTAACTTTGATTGCATTTGAATCAGTGAGAACGAAAACACACCACCTCTGTGACTCGAAAATGCTTAATTTTCATTAAAGACAGTCAATTTTCACTAAACTAATTGAAGTTAGCGCATCTGTTCCAGTTTGGACCTTTCGAGAGTCCTTTAGTACTTGTCCTTCGAAACCAAAAATCTTTTTCTTAGATACTTAACTTCTTCACTTTTTGTGCAGTTTTGTGTGTGTCTTAATTGTTTTCATTTTTTCGAGTTGGTGTGTTTTCGTTCTCACTGATTCATTTGTCAGCCAAACTAAGCATCGGGTAAAAATAATTGGGTGAAGTGTCTAGCTACCGTTTTAATGATGCCAAGGACTAGAGATCGACATGAGAATTCGGAAGGAACCCCCCGTTTAGTTGATAAACATTGTTAGATGAACTAGAAATCTGTTCGGTCCCGTGCGGAGACTTTTATCATGATAAACTCCTGGCAGCCTCTGGTGCCTTCAAATATTTAAAAATTCTCTACAACCCTCACGAGCAAAGAAGGAGGCCAAGATCCGAAGTGCATTTCTGAAACGAGAGGCTCCTTGAGAAAATTCTCGAGGTCAGCTTCTCCTCGCAGTGCTGCCAAAATTCTATTCTTCCGTGTATTTATACCAACTTTCTTTCCGTGATCAACGGACAGGGCTACGTATTTACCGACGGGTATTTCCGTCAAACCCTTGTTTAACCCTTGAAGAGCATCCGTAACGAGAAATCACCTTACAAAAATGCATGTCAATCGTCGGTTATTTCCAACTCGCAATTTTATACGCCGCACAGTGGATCGAGTCAATCAGAGAGGTCGCCCATCAACTTTCTAACTGAAACTGCAAATTTCCATGTTTATTTCGTCACATTTTAAATTTCAAGGGGTGTTTCGGGAAGAAAATTTCACGAGGCAACCAATGACACCACTTTTAACACCTCTAAAGTTTGTATAAACGGAGTCATAAGCATTTAAAGTTTCCGAATTTTGTCAGACCTCTCCTATTGACTCGATTCACTGTGTGCTGATGGATGATGCAAATGCAGAAAGTCGATCTGGCTCCTAAAAAATTGTAGATGGCTCCGAAGAGTAGGGTTTTTCGGCCGAGGTGGCTTAGAAGGAAGGAAGAATACTGGTCAGGTCCACTACGAATGAATCTGGCGACAAGGAAAAGCTACCCACATGGGTTGTTCGTTCATAGATTTTTCAACGAAAGGCGGCCAAGAATCTAACCCTCCCCCATCCTTCTTGAGCGATCAGGTCCAATTTTCAAAATTTTAATCGTTACCCTTCCCTTACCCCTTCCCTCTTGCGCTGCACCTTAATGTAGACCAATGCTACTTCGAACTCAGCAACGCTAGTTTTCCTCCATTTAAATTATGTAAAACAATCAATTGCAGGTGAGACACGCCTAAAATATTTTTTTTTACAGGATGAAAAACAATGTTGCCAACTATCACTGACTTCTCCCGCCGTAAGGTGGATCGAGTCAATCATAGAGGTCGGACACGAGATTTTTCACTAAAATTGTAAATTTTTATGTTTAGTTCGTCACATTTTAAATTTGGAGGGGTGCTCCAAAATGAAAATTTCACGAAGAAACCGATGAAACCACTTTTAGAACCTCAAAATTTTGTATAAACGGAAATATAAGGTTTTAAAGTTTTCAAATGTTGTCCGACCTCTCCTATTACCTCGATCCACTGTGCGCTGTTCTTCGTGAGTCCCTTAAGAAATGTTCGAACAATTTTATCCCACTTTGACGAACTCAGGTCATGGAGCTTCCTGGCATACGTCGACAAGTGGGAACAAAGAAGAAATCGGAAGACAGAAAGAGAGAAAAAGCATGGAAAGAAAAGGAGAAGGAACAATAATTGCGGACGTATTTCTATCAAACGGAGCTAGGTGTATTCTGACGTGAGTCCTCTTATGCACATATTGTTGTGGGTCTCAGGGCTCATGTCTCAGTGCACTTAGTTCCGTTTGATAGAAATACGTCCAATTATAGTTCCTTCTCCTTTTCTTCTTCTTCGTATCCTTCTCTTCCGATAATGTAATCTATATTGATCGCTTTCTTGTTAACATAGCACAATCAGCATCTAATTAAGTCCCGCGTTACCCCTAATACCGCTAGGGTTCTTGCCTCCTTCCGGGGAGAATCGCTTACAATTTGAGGGCCCGAAAGGTCGGTTCTTGCGACTTAGGAGCATTCACAAATTTCAAGTCTCTATTTTAATTTGTTTAGAAGTTACAGGGGCGATACCGAATGCTGATGGTGCCAAACCTTTGGATCACCCTGAACGGCAGGGTTGCCACAGAATTTAGAAAATGAAATTCCCTGACACATTTTGGTAAAGTTCCCTGACAGTTGAAGATCTGACAGATGGTTAAGAAGGCATGACTGAAAATAGTTTTCAGGCAAAATTTCTTGTTCAAAATCTCGAACCCATTCTAGAAAGCAAAAGCAAATGGATTTAACAAATTTTCCCCGGCATTTTCGGCATTTTCGTCATTTTCCCTGACATTTCCCGTTTTTCCCTGACTTTATAAAATTCCCTGACATTTCCCGGTTTTCCCTGACTTTTTAAAATTCCCTGACATTTCCCGGTTTTCCCTGACTGTGGCAACCCTGTGAACGATGCCATCAAACTTACGGTGAGATCGGGAAAACGTCGATAGGTGTGGAAAATACGCGGAAAAGAGTTGCTGTTCTAATTTCGACAGTTGCTATGCGGAAAGTCGCCTGAAAATGGGAGATGGGTGTCTAAAATTAGGCGCCACTGGATATTACACCGCTGAGCCGGGACCATGAATGAAACTTTGAATACCGCTACGGATTACTTGAAAAATAGGCAACTTGCCTGCGACACAGAGGATATTCCATCCAAGTTTCAAACGAATCAGCACGGCCGTTCTCGTGTAAACAAAGACTTACTGCCGTTTGCTAAGGAAGAACGCCGTATGAACATTCGAAAGTTGCCAAATTTCCTTCAGTATAATGTTTATTTTTGAGGAAAGTTATGAATATTTTCCCTTGAAATTGTCAGGGACTTTCGGCGAAACTGCGAACAAAATTATATGAAAAATTGGAAGACAAATATTCATAAGTTTACCAGGAAATTCGTGTTTATCAAAGGAAATTTGGCAACGCCCGAAGGTTCATACGGCGCGGCGTGTTTCCTTAGCACGGCAGAATAGATTGTCCGTTAAAATATGGGAACTGAACTTCGAATGAAAAACCATAAATCGTTTCCCGTTGAAAACTTAAACTCTGATTCTACGAGCTGACTAAGTAAAAAGTGGACTGCATTTTGAAATTAAGAACTACAATTTCCGACTCAGTTTAGGAACAACGTACATATTATGTACCATGTAACAACGTATGTATGTGCATTAGTTTCCCTGTGCACTGAAGTGTTTTTACAGATGAGAAAGAAATTGTAGCTTCCAATCGCAAGATGAAGTCCAATAATTATTGTTCTTCATGATCGTCTCTGAGCATTCGGCGGGGTTGCTTTCACTGCGAACGGTAACAAATACACTACGGTAAAACAAGAAAACGCCGGCAAACTGGACTAGATACTTCAAGCGTAGCTCTTCGTGCATTGCGTGCGCAACAGTCTCGTCAATTGAATGTTGCGATCCAAACTTTTCGAAATTCTGAAAACACGTAGCACAGATCGATGGCCGAAGTGCTGATCTACGTAGCTCTTTACGACGTTGCAGATTTCCTATCATACTTTATATTCTCTTTGGAAGACTAGTCAAAGTCATTTCTTGAGTGCATCTCTAATATTTTTTCTCTGTAGCAGAATATTCTGTAAGAATTTCAAGCCTTAGAACTGGCTTGTTTCTCTTCGAAATCAATAAAATAGGAACAGAAATTTGAAATATCGGAATGGAAAGACGTGGTTTCGCACTTACGTCATCGATATGCGACACAAGTAAGAACCTGCAAGAATCTAGACACCCTTGAAAGGATGCCAATTTTCTCATTGTATGCGGATACTTCTGATGATTCGATGTGATGCAGTGTATAAAGGGCCGGTCTGTGGGTCTGAGGCACCCTGCATGTGCGAGACACCAAAATAGCACCCTCCTACCACTGAGGGGTCTACGCAGAAGTCAAGGGGGGGGGGGGGGTGTGCGCGGGGCCACCTCCGGGAAATGTTTGACATTTTAACCCTATTTGGACGCCTTCTGAGGCTTCCATGATGCAAATTTTTGAAAATACTAACCAAATGAGAACGATGTTTTCATTGAAAACTCTGCATTAAAAAAGATACAGATCCTCGACGAAGGTTTTTTTCCACTACCAGAATTTCGGGGAGGGGGCAGATGATTTTACTTTCAATGGAGATGTTGCATGTGTGAGGAATTTTCGATTTGACTAACAATTCTTATGTAAAAGTTTGCAAGAAACACGATGGTGCCACTGGTTTTCTCTGAAATCAAATCCCAAGCTTAAAAAAAGCTCTCGAGTTGAGGCTGTAATGGAGGGGATGTCCCGCGCTACCCTGAGAGTCCACCTCTACATCAAGACAAACTCTCCATGCAAACATAGGGAGCAAATGCATTAGCAGGGTTGCCGTGTTTTCAGTTTTGGAGTCCCCAAATAAAGTGGCAGCCCTGTCAATGTATTTGCTCCCTATCTGTGCATGGAGAGTTTGTCTTGATGTAGATGTGGACTCTCAGGATAGCGTGGGATATCCCCTCCATTTTGGCCTCAACTCGAGAGCTTTTTTTGAGCTTGGGAGTTGATTTCAGAGAAAACCAGTGGTACCATCGTGTTTCTCGCGAACTTTTACAAAAGAATCAATGGTCAAATCGCTAATTCCTCACACATGCAACATCTCCATTATGGGGGCAGGGGGCAGGCCCTTCCTTATAGCCCATGCTCCCCGATGGTGGGTTAGGAAAGAAAAAGCACTTCAGTGCAGGCACGAAATTTAGTCGCCAAAAATGTCGAACTACTTGAATATTAGGGCGAGCAGTCATAATTCAAGAACTGAATCTTGCAGGTGTTTTCATCTATGCGGAGAAAACCGTACCGTATAACACCGACAATGTTTTTTTTCGCCCAAAGCCAGCAGGAGTTTTTACTCAGAGAAGAGCTCTAGAGCTTTTACACATGACACTGCTGGTAATTTATCGTTCCTAATTACATGTTTGCAAAAATGACGTCCTTAATTAGAGAGGGTGCGGCTGGAGGGCTTCACTGAGGCTGTTTTTTGGTTGGAAAAGACAAAGTTTCAACAGTAAATTAAACACTTCATTGCATTCGAAATACGATAACAAAAAAATAAAAATAAAAAAAATCAGAAAGCACTCTAATTTTTCGGAGGCGCTGTTAAGGAGAGGCCGCCCTACTTCCACCGTTGATAAAACAAAATGCTAACAATGAACGGAAAAGTCATTGAATTGACACATTGAAAAAAGAAATGAAATGAGAGAGCGCCCGCCGATGTTTCCAAGGCGCTGCAGGAAGGTTTCTGACCTTCCAACCTTGGCAAAATGAAGTATTAGAAGTAAGCAAAACGTTCCACTGCATTCACAAAATAATGAAAAGATAAAAAGCGCCCACGGCACAGATAGAAGAGGGAGGTGAGCCGAAGGTGCCCCTTTCGAGGATCCACTTTCATCGTAAAAAATCAACAATGAACCAAATATTTTATCCCATTAAAAAAGTGAGGGATGGGAAGGGGGGTTCTAGAGCGTGAACAGGGTGTCTAGTATTTTTTAATTTTGAAAAATCCTGATAATTTTCTGATTTTTCCTGATATTTTATAAAAAATTCCTGATTTTGTCATTTTGAAAATTCCTGATATTTTCCTGATTTTTTATGAGGCCTTCACTATACGACACAAGCGCTACGGGTGAGAAATTATCGAAAACAAAGACGGCGCGACGACTCCTGGCACGGTAGGCAAAGAGCAGTCTTCTCAGCTGAGGAGATTCGCGTAAGAAAAATTCCTGATAAAACATCCGATTTTTTCCTGGTCGGCCAAAATTCCTGATATTTTCCGGTTTTTCCTGATGCCTAGACACCCTGGTGAGCGCCTTCGGCGCTGTATGATCCTTATAGGGCGCCGGACGCACACTGGATCCAGTCAATTAGAGAGGCCGGACATGAAATGTTTGACAAAAACTGCGATTTTAGATGTTTGTTTCGTCACATTTTAAAGTTCAAGGGATGCTGCCAGAAGAAAATTTTACGAGAAAACCAATGGAGTCACTTTTAGAACCTAAAAAGTATGTACAAACGGAGTTATAAGCGTTTAAAGTTTCCAAATTTTGTCCGACCTCTCCTATTGACTCGATCCACTGTGCGATGGCGCCCTGTGCGGTCGTACGGCTCGCCCTACCCAAAGACCGCGGGGACCGCGGGCCTCCCGGTGTAACCCCCAATATATTTTATCGGAAGAGAAGGAATTTCCCAGATTGAATTCGATGATAGGTGCGATCGACAAGTGTTATGAGAAATTAGTGGAAATCAAACTTACAAGAAATTACTCATACCGAGAATGGCTGACCATGTTGTCGCCGACAGGCTGCTCCTCAGATAATGCTGATCCTGAAACAAAAACGATGTAAAATGATTACCACAACATTTAATGATTCAGCAAAGTTTCCGACTATCTATATACGTATATTCCGGGCACAAGACAGGCTCACAGTATAAACAAATGGAATTCGATATGATCAAGGCTCGATATTTTCCGACAAAATGCAACAGTTTCATGCCTAGTTGACACGCTACAAATCGCATGGTCACCAAAGTTTCGTCATCTTCAAATTCTCGGGCTTTTCCCTGACTATTTCTGCTTTCCCCGACTCCAAACTTGTCTAATTCCCTGACTCTTCCTGAGCTTCGAACAAAATTTCCACCTTTTTTTTCTTTAATACCTACGCTGACTTTTCCTAAGCTTCGGACACAATTTTCTGGTTTAGAGATCGAATTATGGAAAAACCGTGAGTTAGACTATCATCTACCTTCTTTGCCCATTGCAACCACCCATTTCCACCAACAGGATCCCTCCATACCCCTTTTTTGTCTCCTTTGCATATAGCTTTGTCTACAGGGTGTCTTATAAAAAACCTAAATAGAGGACTTTCGGGGACTTTTTCCCGAAATAGTATAAGAGAAAGGGAACTAATTAGAGCCTTGAAAGTCGTATTTCATGGGACTAATTTTACGAGTCATATTGAACCGATGAAAACATACGAAAAACCAAGCAACGCTTCAGTTGTTGTATTCCTGGTTATACCGCGTCGTCGAAAATGTGAAAATGCCGATGTATAGGACGATTTTTGTCATTTTTTGGGAACCTGAACAAGAAAATTGGGGACTTTCGGGGATATCGGGGACATTGGGGACCAGTAGACACCCTGGTCTATCAATTTCAAGGATGAGTCCGCTGTAAGCATACGAAGCAGAGAGGAGAGTCGGGGAGTTTAGAGCCAAGTTGATTGATTGAAGGTGCTTTATTCTCAATTTGAGCTCATATTTTTGCCCGAGGGTCAGAGATTATAATTGATCGGCCGAGTTGAGTGCCGGGAGAGCCGTTTCCCGGGAAAACCCCCTTCAACTCCCCCGCTCGCTTTTCCGGGTGCCGTCATTACGGAGTCTATCACCTGCGTATGAGTGAATTCTTCTTCCCGAGTTTCCCGGCAAAAGAGGATTTCAGTTTAGCACGGTGTCAACGATTACGGTGACAACAAACAGTTCCTCTAAGTTTTTTTTGACACCATGATCATCCAAAAATAAAAATTCTGACCTTATGAAAGATGATCACGGTGTCAACGATCACGACATCAACGAAACTTAAAACTTATGTTTCTTTTTCCTACTTTATCGGGTTGTATCAGATAATACTCACTTTTTTCTTTTTCTTAACTTAAAACTTCCCGCTGTAACATCTTTCAAATTTCAAGTCTTGTTTTCCTCGTGTTATTTACTCTAACCTAATCCTAACGTAATCTAACCTACCTAACCTTACCCAACTTTACCTCACCAGACCTAACTTACTTTCACAGAACTTAACTTTCCCTGACCTTACCCTACCTAACTTGAACCTTACCTACCTAATCTAACCGTTCCTGTCCTGACCTAAACTAACCTAATCTAACTATATACTTGACCCAAACCTCTCCTGTACACTTGATTTTTTAAATTTTACTCATAAGGAAGATATTTTTCTGTTTGTTGACACCGTGATCGTTGACACCATGCTCAGGGCCCATTTTTGCGTTTTACTGCCTGAGCACGACGTCAACAATCGTTGACTCCATGATCCGATTTTGGGTTTGTTGACACCATGCAACGTTACCGTTTTTTCAGGGTTGTCACAGAGTTAAAAAATAAAATGAGACGTCTAGTTCTAAAGCGGCAATCTCCAGTGCCCGTCTCAAAATTACGCAATCATATTAATTTCCCGAGAGGAACAATCAAAACGTCCAGCTGTTTTTAAAATTTTCCAAATTTTAAAAACAGCCCGCCAGGCCTCCAATAGAAAATTATGATAGAAAATAATAATGGAAAATTGACGAGAAAACATAAACATGTAGGTTTTCCCGTTCTTTCACTTATAAAATGATAATGATGGCACAATTTTTAGACGGGGCAATGGAGATTGCCGCTTTTGGAACTAGACGCCTCAAATTCCCTGACGTTCCTTGATTTCCCTAACAAATGAGGATGTGCGGGATAGCGTAAATAAAGACATGTTATAATTGCTCCATCCAAATCCTGATTCCTGACACGCAACGAACGTATGTTGATCAAGACATCAAGTACATTAGATAGCTTTTAAAAGTGATTTAAACAATTTATTCCTGACATTTTCCGCTATCCCCAGACTTTTGTGAATTCCCTGACACTTTGCCAGTATTCCTTGACTTTCGTGGATTCCTTGACATTTCCCGATATTCCTTCACTTCTAACGATTCCCTGAGATTTTCCCTGACTGTGGGAACCCTGGTCGTTGCAAATTCCCAGACTTTCCAGACCGCCGGAAACCCTGGTTAGGGACGATGCGACCTTCTCTCCGTGGTTTCTAATGAGACCGGTGGCGTGGCGTGCTTTGCGATGTATCGATGGATTTGCCATTTAAACCTACGCAAAAGGATCGTTAAACAAGGTGTCCGCAATGAGCACCTTAATAATCAACTTTTTACCACAGCTTCAAACGGAGAAATATCGACCATCGATCATTCACGCCTCGCCATTGATCGAAAAACGAGTTTCATGAAATTCTGGCCGCTTGCAAATTCTCCCTGGAGAAAATGTTGGAGATATGCAATAATTAATCTGACAACGCAGCATCTTCCCCGAAAAACAATAAAACACAATCAGACCCTTCGAGACTTTACGAGGGCTTTCGTCCCCCAATCTCACGCCTACGCTTGCGTGGTGCAATCCCTTGTCTTTGCCTTCAGTCAGTTCAGATCCTTCTCTGTATCTTTACGCCGTGTCTGTCTCAGTGCTGTAAAGCTGAAGAAATTCTACCTCGGAATTAAATCGTATCTTATTAATATCATACCTAACCTTAATTTCTTCAGAAGACAGCGCTAACGCTTCTTTCACAGGGTGTCTAGTTTTTTTTTTTCATTAGGGGAAGTTCTGACTTTTCCTGATTTTTGACTGCTAAATTCTGATTTCATAATTTTTCCAAATCCTGATCAAATCCTCATTTTTGGCGGAGAAACTTTAACTTGACAAAAATAGCTCGATAAAAAAAATCAATCGGACGGCCGACTTTTCTCAAATCCTGCTTTGACGATCGATTTTTCCTCAAATCCTGATGAAATCGGGATTAAATCCTGATTGACCTCAAGTCCTGGTAGAATCGGGAAAATCCGGATGCTAGATTTCAAAATGGTTTATTTTTCAAATCTCCAGGCTTCTGGATAAAAATCCCCGGCTTCCCTGACGACACCCGGTCTCGCAGCACCCTATCATCTTTCATAAACTGGACGCCTTTAAATGCCACGGAAAGCGAGGCTGGCGCGGACACCCAACCCAAGCCCGATGCAACTCCTTCCGAGCGTCGGAATACCACCCGCGCGACACTGCTCGAGCTCGCCGGGTTGCCGCAGCGGCAGGCGCGCGAGGCCGGGGGTTGGGATGGGGTGGAAAAGCGGGCCTCCCTTCGCCGTCCGGCAGCGGCGCCCGCTGCTCTTCGCCGGTGACGTCAGCCGGGTCGGATCGATGCGACTCAGCATTCCCGGACCCTTCCCTTCCCTTGCCTCCCCCTCGCGGGCGCCCACCCGTTCCTTCCCCCTCCCCCTCCCACGCCTCCGGTGCGGTGCTTCCATTCACGGCCGGGATCCATGCCTTTCTCGAGTCAGCGTCTCTTTCTCTTGACGAGTCCGATTCTCTCTCCATGTTAATGGGCGGCTTTTCCATCGCCATGTTTTCCCAACCCCGGCCGAGCCCTCGTCCCTAATTTCCGCGACGGTCCAGAAAATACACGGAACAACGGGGCTACGCCCTCTGACAGCTTCGGGCTTCGACCTCCCGAAGCGCTTCGCGTCTCGACCCGGGCGTTTTGGGTGACGCCTTACTCTCACGGAAAAATTTAATTGCTCATTTAACAATTTGCTCAAAAAAAAGTGACTGCAATATTTCAACGTAGATTTTACAACAAAAAAAAATGCTACTTAAACCACTATTGTAAGCTAATTTGACCGACGGGGGTGGTTGAAGTAGCATTTTCTTTTTTTCTTCTTTTTTTTTTTTGGAAAATCTACATTGAAACATTGCAGTCACTTTTTTTATCAATTGAATTATTAAATCAGCTAATTAATTTTTCCGTGCTCATGACTTTTTTCTCCTCTTTATTTCTTCTGTAATTCGGGTCTCATGATTTTTTATTGCACCTAGAGCAATAGGGACAACCAGGACAGAATTGCAATACAAGGATCCCATATTTCAATGAACGCAAGATAATGAGTCGAGTCGCCGCCGAGGGCCCGCGAAAATTTGACCCCAAAATCTCCCGAAGCCGGAAAAATTCCCAGAATTTCCCCGTTTTTTTCCAAAATTCCCAGTAAAGGGGGAGCGTGTAATTAACGAACAGCACTTTTTGGGCATTTATGAGCCCCCCCCCCTTTCCCCCTTGTGACGCTTCGTAACAGAACGCAATACCAGACGTCCCTTCATACGTGTATAACGCTTACCACCCCTCCTCCCCTCCCCTTCCAAATATCAAAAATAGTAAGAGTAGTTGATTATGTAGCTGGTAGATTTGAAGTATTTTTAATGATAGTGGGACAAATAACGTCAAAAAGATGAGGATGAACAATTTTGGGTTATGTGTGTTTTTTAAGCATAGAGAAGGTTACGTAACGCTAACACTCTGCCGTGCTAAGGAAAAACGCCGTATGAACCTTTAAGCGTTGCCAAATTGCCTTTGATAAAACAAGAATTCCCTGGTAAACTTGTGAATATTTTTCTTCCAATTTTTCAGATAATTTTGCTCGCAATTCCGTCGAAAAGTTCTGAAATTTGCAAGAGAAAATATTCATAACTTTCCTAACAAATAAACATTTTATCGAAGGAAATTAGGCGAC